CCAGTACTGGTGACATCGAAATTGTCTCAAATGCGTTTCTAGCCATATCTGGCATACTTTCAACATCATCAAGCGGCGGTTCTACGTCCTTGAACTCGACATCAAAGCGGAAGACTTCACTACTCTTGCTAATCTCCCAATGGCTGAGGAGTTGCTGCCAGGCTCGATCGGCACTGCCATACTGCATAAACGCTCGGAAGACTCGGAAGAAGAATGAATCTCGCCAGAAGCGGGCACTGGTTACAACAGTGTCGGGCTGTGACTGTAACGAGCCAGTACCGAGTGAGACCACAAGGCTGGGCCCAGGAGTGGTAGGATGCAGGACAGCAGCCTCTCGAATTGCCAAGGAAGCTGGGTTGTTATACATAAGACCGCCATCCTGGAACACGCCCAAGCCTTCGACCGTTCTTGGCTTAAAGTAGCTGGGATATTTAGTAAAAAGAAGAGCATGCCTACTGAAATGACTTACAATGGTGCTGCTGTCGCGCAGCATAATCTGAAAGTGTTAGTCTCTTAATAATTATCTGCGGAATGGATTGACTCACGACTCCCAGAGGGGTACAGGCCTGTCTCCGTCTTTGAGCGTGATCATTTGATAGTCTGTGATCGTTAGTAGAGTATTCTCCGCCTCTCCCTATTGCCTACTGACCGCTCTGCCCACGCCTCCCGATTCCGTTATAGTTCGAAAACACAAAGGTACGAACATCCCGGATAGTCGTTACGGGAACTCCAACAAGAATGCCCTTCTCGTCTGCCATGGAGTGGTCCAACATGCTTCTTATCGACCCAAATGTTGACTTGAGAGCTTCTTCTAGGGCTATCGTGGAGTAGCGGCTGTCCGCAAGCATAGACCAACACAGCTCGTAGAGTTTTGTAATAATGGGTATACGAAAAGAACACCGAGGTTTGAACGCAAGGCGAGCGAAACTCTCAAAGGCTGCGATGCATTTATCCACAGGCCAGCCGTTGATACAGAGTGCGCAGGTAATAATCGCACCTACTATCATTAGCATGATCCACTCAGTTGCGATATTCGCTTACCTGAACTAGTTCCAAATACTAAGTCGAAATTTTCGTGGATAGGCAACGGTAAACCGACCCGTTCCTGGAGGACACGAAGGAACTCCAACGGAACTCGACCCCTTGTCCCCCCTCCATCAATGCTGAGCACACGAAGTCCTGCCGTTTCTGGCCTGATCTGGATACTAGCCGGTGCCGACAATAGCCCGCATAGCAGACAATGACCAAGCCGAAAGAGCCAAGGCTTGAGCTCGTCTTGCACCGCGAATGTCCTTATACAGCATTCACAGAATGAATGCCCACACTCCAGTCTAAAGCGAGGCTGCCGGCGTATGCAGCATAGACACGTCTCATTTGATCTAATAGCTTTCCAGGACCGAACATAACTCGCTATTTGCTGCTGATGTAATGTTTTTGATGATTGACAGGAAACATAAGAATCGAACAACGAAAAAAACTTGTTTTCCAGTGACTTCAAGACCTTTGTTGCTAGGGCCGTACCGTTCTCATGATTCGAGAACAGTTCTGAGGTATCTAGTGCAGTCTTGCAAGTATCCTTATATAGCTCATGGAACACTTCGCGAGGCTGAAAGTCTGTCCCAAGTGGTCAGCATCCGAGAGTACAAGGGGAAGCAGAAACCTACCATGCATCCCCGGAGGGTAGCTGTCTAAGATAAGGCTAGATGCAATCGCACTAGGGACAAAATCTATTCGGTTTTCCAAAGGGATTGCTGCGCACTGGTCCAGAAACCTCCGAATATGTATTACCAAGTCTGGCGCTGGTGGATTGTCTATCCGGGCCGTGAGAATAAAGTTGCTAGACTGAGCTGGATCGACCATAGCTTTAGTGGCTCCGTAATGGAGTAAACCTGCAAGGTGTCGTGCAGTAAATAAGAGGGATTGCTGAGCACGACCTTCCCTTGAAACATTGCACAGGTTTGTAAGCTCACGAGTGAGGACAGATAGCCGATTCTGACGCGACGTCGTCCGGCCGAGGTTTAAAACACGGAGGCTCGCAAAAGATGTAGTTATACCATTGCTCATAGCAGCTAGCAGGGTCGCGGCAAGGCCACAAAAGGTCTCCTCTTCTGCTTCGCTGTTTACCGCTACGACTAGCCATGGGCGAAATCCACCCTGATGCGATGGTTTCATGCTGGCCCAAGATGTTACGACCTGCACAGCGCGATGAACTCCTCCGATGTCCCCCGCAAACAGACATAGTACGTCCGTATGAGGTATAACTAGCCGCGTAAAGATGTGCTCTTCCGACTGCAGTTCCTCATTCTTAGAACTTTGCAGAAACTGCCGATGAATGATCTCATGACACCGCTGCTGCCGCTGGCTCCTTGGTAGCGCAGCCTTAGAAGGTAAGTCTACGTCTATAACGAGCATGGGATGATTGCCTGAGACACTATTAGGGGCTAAAGCTACATGCAGCTCTCCCCGGAATCTGTGTGCCCTAATCCCATTGACATTAATAGATAGCTTTTGAAGGAAGCGTGCTTTCGACTGATTTCCGATCAGTGTTAGAACACTAGGGTACTGTCTGTCTGGGTTTGGGAGGTCGTCTAAGAGTGTTCGGATTCGATCGGACACTTCTAGGCACGTTTCTTGGTTTTGCGTGGCTAGACATAACCATCGAGTATGTCCGCATGATGGCATAGCCTTATACTGTATGGTACTGAAGCCAGAAGGGAAAGGCCGTCCGGTCTATATTTATAGGCCGCAAGGTTAATATATAGCAGGTATGTCTTATAACTTGCGAAGGCTTTGGGAAAATCCATATAAGCATGCTCCAAATCAAGCGCATTTCGTAAAGTCTATTAGTTAACCCTCGAAGGCGCTTCCCGAAGCCACTTCCGGAGGTTACTAGAAGCTGGTTCATGCCGCGTAAGGCTTTCTTAACCCCAAGTGTGGGGGTCCAAGGCCCCATTCTACTGCAGTTGTTACTTGAGCTTCGTAGAATCGCACTCCGCGACGTAACGTTCGACGTGAGCCTCAAAAAAAAGAGTTTTTATCAATGGAAACGAACAGCCGAGAAACTTCTAGCATATATTCTGATTCCTTTGAATTGGACCACATTTTGGAGCGGCTAATTGGGAAAGAATCGGACCACGAACTTGCTATACTTCGAGCCTTACAAGATGAGAATCAGTATCTAGGCCGTGCCCTAACGAAAATCAAAAGTCTTTGGGACATAACGTACTCTTGTATGCAACAGGCCACAGAGACAATGAAGAGCTTAGCTATGCTCCAGACTGAAGCGAATCAAGGAATAGATAGAGAGGCTTTACGTTGGAAAGTTAACTGTACCGAGTTCTAAGGTTTAAGGGCGCTGAAGATCTGTAAGAACTCAAATACTAAGCCAAGGCGTGAAATGTGCTAAACACATGGACTCGGAGCTTCCAAGCTTTAAAGAGGTGTAAAGGAACTATCACAAGGCTTAATATAACACTAACCTGGTGCTTATAATAAAGCGGCTTCTTCGTTACTATTTCCTCACCTAATACTGTTACAGTGGCTCCTAATATCGCTGGAGATCTTCTAGAGAACTTCTATAACGACCCCGCTAATAAGTAGCAAGATCTAGGGAGGGATAAGAGGAGGTCATTTACACGGGATAAATATTACGAAGTTACGAAATAACTCAGGGAGCTTCACGATGTAACTACGAAGATTCAGGCCGTCGCTTAGAGGGAAGGTATATTTACTTAGATTACGAGGATCAGTTCACCCAATTCGTCTATGGATTTAAAGTAATTTCTTTTTGGAAGAACCCAATTCGACGAATACGATACGTTAAGCTCACGATAAAAAAAGTCTTATCTACCTATGGAATAGTAAAACCAATAGCGGCCACTTAGATACTTAATCTGAGAGGCCAGGACGTAGTCCTGTACCTTCCTTCTCACCTGAAAATTTATAACAAAAGATAATTTAAGGCCTGTATTACTGTACTCTTCAACATAAGGTAGAATGTATTCTATAGTAGGAACGACGAGACAAGTTGAACGATAACACCGCTAAGTTCAGGAGCCAATAGTGGATACTAGCACCACTAACAGGTAGAGCGCTTATGTATAACTCAAGCTATCTATACTAAGATGGAAGTAATGAACTTACTGAGCATTTTCAAGGAGCTTTCACTCCATCCATTAACCGCGAAGGACATTACTGAACTTAAGGCAACTTGGAAGTGTATCCAGTCAAGATATGCTCGATCTCTTGCGCGAAGTAATTCTTATCGTTCAGAAATCATCCAGAAGCAGGAATGGGATAACTACGTATCGCGGGTCGCAGACCAAGGATCTATTCTTCTTCTTCCAAGTCAGATGCACTTAGAACCTCTAAGTAAAGGTCTCGCACTCGAACGTCAGACCGTTAAGGAGTATCTTCAGCTTCTCAGAGACAGCCGGCCCAAGTACCAAATAGAGGACATAAAAACCATCGTGTCAGAGGAAGACATCCAAGCGGTTATTGATCCTACATGGACACGACCTCGAATGGTACCTATACAGTACGGCAGTCGCTGGCTTTTCGCCGCAGTCTATAAGGATATCATCCACTTATATGACAGTAGTCCAGATAACGAAGCGCAGCTATCATTTAGTAGTACTTACCCTACTTATTATATAGCTGGACCGAAGCATGATCCGTTACGGGAGCAAGACTCTGGTTTATTTATGCTACTCGGGTTGCGCCTAGTCGCCAACCAGGTAGCTCATATAAGTGGCCAGTCGATTGAGGCTAATAGCATACGGAATCAAGTTTTAATTGAGCTCGTTACCCAAAAGCTCAATCCCACGGATAATGATTTTAAACGAATACTCGATGGTGAAGAGGCGGCATGCATGGAACGACAAACTCAATTTAATCCATCGAATTTTGATAACTTTTCCGGGGGATTGGGAATCTCCCAATACAGCTCACCTTTACCATGGGCGTTGTTTGACGCAGGTGATATAGCACCTAATACAGCAATGCAAATACAGAATAACCGTGAGGCACTAAGACCTCCCCCTCTCAACCCACCATCGCCCGTATCGGACGAGCGTAAAGCTATCCTGTCTATGCTTCACGATGCGGTCCGAGTTGTTAGATCTGTGGAAGTGAACGACTCAAAAGATATACGGACATTATGGTCTTTAGCCCAGGAGAGCAATCTCAGAAGTGAATTCCACAGGCGTTATAACTGTGCCCTTTTCTATGACCGCTTCGAACCTCTCGAAACTAGGGATTCTGGAACTCTAGCAAGTAGTCACGGTATCGATGAGGAGACGTTCCAGGAGATGAGAAAGGCTCAGCCGAAAAACCGGTTCTGGAGCATTTTACGCGATCTTGCGGACGAATCTAATCTCCAAAATCATAAGGATGCTCTGCTTTGCATTCCAGTACACCACTCAACACTTAGGACCGACAAGGCTCGATCTACTACGATTAAAGACATTAAGGAACGTCTCCAGAATGATCACGATCCACTAAAGGGATACCTACAAGCAGCAATAAGACTTTGTGATGCTATTCTTAAGCTCCAGCTTCCATCATACCCTCTCATGATCGAGAACTTCAGGAGCAAGTCCTGGGATCCATTAACGGATGATCTCTATAAGGCGTTGTTAAGTTTAGAACGGCACCCCAGGATACCCCTACCAAGCCTAATTGTAGACCGTTAAAGAGGACTGGGAAAGACGGGTCATATGACAGCCTAGATAGTGAAGCTACAGTACGCCGCTGATAATTCGTACAATACTGGGCCGTATCTAGGAATGATGTGGTTTGCGAGATTCTTGGACATTACATTGTGCCTCGCCCAGTTTTTTTTTCCAGATGTGGAAAATCGCCCCCGTTGCGCGTCAATGTTCATTCGACAACAAGAACAAATGAACCATACCAAACGGGTGACCGATTTGCTTAATTAGATAAAGAAGGTTTTTTGGTGCTGCCTCCTGTGCCCGGCATCCTCCCAACTCAAGAATGTGGATTGCGCGGCCCCTTTCCTTTACATGCCGTCGCGCATGCTGGTGCCGGCCTTCTTGTTCTCCTCGGCAGCGGCCTTTGTGCGCTCCTGGAGCTTGCTGATGTCCTCGTGCTCGTTGCGGTCGGCCTTGACGGCCTCCTCGCTCTCCGAGGCGAGCTCGGGCTTCCAGTGGCCCTTGCCGGACTTCTGCTTGGCGAGCGAGTCCTGCTCGTGCTTCTCGGGGTCGTACTCGGAGGAGTCGGCTGTAGGAAATGTGGTCGCGGGGAGGGACCATATTGTTAGTGCTATTCGGTTCCAGTGACAATTGGTATGCGCGAGAGTGTGTGGTTGGCCCATCCGCAGGTTCGCACAAGGCTTCTGTTCGTGACCAGCTTGCGTGTCTTGGTTGGAAGTATGGTCCCAGCTCGCTTGCCAATGCGGGCTTGATGGAGTCATGTAGGCGACGAATTATGGGTGGGATCAAGGGGCGCACTTACGGTCAGCGCTCTCCTTGTGCTTCAGGGCCGCCGAGGTGGTAGCGAAGGTGCGAGGAACAATCGCAGGCTGCCTGGTGACGGCCCGGGTGGCGGAAGCTCTGACGAGGACTCTGGGAAGCATGATTGCTGAGGTGATGTGGAGGGTATGGTGTCTAAGGGGAGAGAGAGACGGTAGGTAGAGGGGAGGAAAGTTGTGGAAAAGGAAGAGGGATGAGGGGAAAGAACCAATTGGCAAGTAGGAGAGGAGGAGGAGGGGAGAGGAGGTTGGCAGTGAGACAAATAACGATGGATGGGATCGTGGAGCAGATTGACCCGTCCGGGCCAGTCGATTCGATGTGCCTGAGCTGCATGCGTGCTGTCACGGGCTGGCAGTTGCGATGATGATGCTGCAGTAGTCGCGGGGTGACGTCACGATGGGGTATGGCGGAGGCATCGTGGGCAGCAAGGAGGACCCTGAAGCCCGCCCACCACCGCCCGCGATCCGCGGCCCCGCTGCTACTGCTACTGTTACTGCTGCAGCGCGCTGGAGCTGCAGCTTCATGCAGGCACTCACAACCACTCGCAGCCCTTGCTGGCACCACGTGCTCGCCGAGGGGAGGCAGCTCTGCCCATGCTGAGCCGGGTCGAGGCTGAACGAGCAGCACCCGCTGCCGTGGAGGCCGCCCGCGAGATTGAGGATGGAACCGCGCAACTGCTGGTCGCAGGAGAGACTATCTGAGTGCCAGCAACACAAGAAGCCCACCATCGCGGATTAAGGCGTCTTGGGCAATCTCAACGTCGCCAAAGGCACGGAGCCGAACCGGTGGTCAGATTCAATTTTTTTTTTCTAATAGAAAAAAAATTCAGAGGATGGAGAAAAAGTCAAAACAACAATGAGTTCCACGTTACTAATCACCAGCCCCCAATGAAGGCGGCGCTGCTGCGCCCTACAGCAGCTGGGTGGTGGAGGAGCACCCACACCTTTTTTCGTATGCGTGGCTTGAACAAAGTTCTCGTTCGAGCTTCTGGATCGCGGTGTCCCTTGTTTGTCCGTCCAGTCGCAGGAACCGGTCTCGGACAGCCTGGAGATGGATGGCAGACTGCAGCATGCCATGCCACACCACCATCGCCTTCATCGGCCCAGCGCGTGTCCATGCTGCAGACCCCGGCCTGTTGGCAAACCTTAGGAAACCCATGCCGGGCTAAGCTTTGGGCCTGGCGCCCTTATCATCATCATCGTCGATGCAACCTGGGCCGGTATAGACAGGCTCACACGGCCACGTACTCCCTGCCCTTGTTTTCGCCTTGGGCGGGATACCTTGGCGGGCAGTTGTTCCTCGTCGCCCCGTCCGATGGACAGCAACCGCGAGATGGCTCTGCGGCCGACATTGTAACGACGACGTAAGTTAGTCCATCCATTATCTGTCACAAGTGGTTATCCAGTCGGACGGAAAGGGATTATTTCGATACCAGGAGTCTTGCAGTTGGGAGGGCTCCAGAATCTCGAGGGTCCACCTGGCTCCCGAGCCAGCATTGGGACTCGTTCATGGGCAACAATGGACCTCACAGAGTTGTTGAAAGACCTGCTCAAACCGTACTATTGAGTCACTCTCTAGGTTGGTATAGGCTGCCGTAGGCAGCCCCAGGCTTCAGCACTCCTTGTTGAGTCATAATGAAGCTTATTCAGGTTTCCTGTAGTCTATAGATAATAGCCACACTCTCTCTGTTAGATAGTTTCTTTAATCAATCATTCATTCAACAAGAGTGAATTCAATTCTGACTCGTAAACATACTGATACAGCACAAGGGCAAGACATCAGTGAGGCCATACGCTCACTCGACCTTGCCAAATTTGACCATCGAGCCCACCGTCCTCCGACTTATTTCTTCAAATGCAGAGCCTCTCTGATGCTGTCAATCTTCGAAGTTCTCTTCGAGACGCCAGCGTCCTCCTCCTTCTGACCGGCCGTTGTGCTCTCCCGAGCGGCGTCCTCCTCCTGACCGGCCGTTGTGCTCTCCCGAGGGGCGGCGTCCTCCTTCTGACCGGCCGTTGTGCCCTCCCGAGCGGCGTCCTCCTCCTGACCGGCCGTTGTGCTCTCCCGAGGGGCGGCGTCCTTCTGACCGGCCGTTGTGCCCTCCCGAGCGGCGTCCTCCTCCTGACCGGCCGTTGTGCTCTCCCGAGGGGCGGCGTCCTCCTTCTGACCGGCCGTTGCGCCCTCCCGAGCGGCGTCGTCCTCCTTCTGACCGGCCGTTGTGCTCTCCAGAGCGGCGTCCTCCTTCTGACCGGCCTTTGTGTCTTCTCGAGGGCGCATCTATATTGAGATGGGTTAGCTGCTCCGGCTATACTGCAGGTCAGAGGGGCTGATGGTGTAAATGTACCTGTGCTTCCTCCTCAACGTGCTGAATGAGGTCGTGGCCTTCAACGGCCGCCTCGTCCGTTAGTCCGCTCATTGTGCGTTGTCGTTGTGGGTTCTTAATGCGATCGGATGGGGGGTTTGGAGCAGGCTTTGTGGTGGTTCGGGAATGTCTGGGAAGTGTCTTTTTAGGAAAACATGCTCCACTTGAGGGGGATGCGGCCCAATATATATAATATCTGGATTTAAGTTCATCCTCGTACGTCATCGTCTCTGACTCGACGTATGCTTGACGTCACCGTGGGGCGAACCTATGCTGGGGATCAGGTTTTGCTCAATCCCACTTCCAATGAAATGATCAGAAGAAATTCCAAGGACCGAGCTAAAGCAACGCTTTCCCCATCACGCTCCATGTTTTTTACTCGTGGTCTACAGTCATCACTTCCGATAAGACACTTCCATCCACCTTTACTGCAAAGCGCCCTTTGTTTTTCTGGCCGCTATTGCTGCCCTTCTGGTAAGGAGTCGGGGAGCTCCCCACGCCGCGTAATTTCCACAGTAGACTTAGTTGCTTGTAAATGACTTGGTTGTGCAACAAAAATGTCGTTGTACGGGGGTGTGGAAGCAGATTCCCGGTTGTGAGTAGTTGGATGAATAGCAGCTACATGAAGTTCGGCGACTATTTCGAGAGGGAGTTGTTGCTGCGTTGGCGGCTGCACAACATCGACTACAACTCCCTAAAACAGCAGATCAAGCTGAACACGACCAAGAACCAAGCCACGGCCATGACCATTCCTGGCCACACGGACGTGGGACTGAAGAATTTCGAGGACGCCTTCTATCTGGAGCTATGCAACCAACATGATCGCGTCGACCTTTTCGTCTCTGGGACGGCCGACGAGATCACCGATGCCTATGTGGGTTAGGGACTGCTGCCAAAGACGGGCATAGGCTAACCTAATGGCTCTACAGGACATCTGGCTGGCCAGACCCAGAATCTGATTCAGAAGTGCAATGCTTCCCGCCAGCTCTCAGCTCAGTGTTGCTAATAATATGGCAATAAAACAATATATTGCAATACATACGATATGATAACGTAGATCCCGGTCAAGCGGGCCACCCGGTCGAGCGGGCCACCCTTAAGGTATTCGGACGACAATGTATAGAAAAAATCAACCAGAACGCCTTAAATCAATTCAAACTAGATGAAATCCTCTTCTTCAGAGGTAGACTCAACTATCTGACACGTACGAGCATTATGGCCGGGCTCGCCGCAAACGCCACAGCGTCGCGCGCGCGTCTCTGGCCTCCTCGCGCGACCACTATTTTGACTTGTTTCTGCCCGTAACTGCTCCGTCACGTCGATCTGAGACTTCAAATCCTTTGCCTGGCTAATCGTTAGTGACCCTCCTTTCTGTAGCTGCTTTCTTTAGTACGTCGACGGCGGCTTAGGCGGCTATTTGCGTCTCGAAGTTCGGCCAGGTCGCTCTCCATAAGGGCCTGTTTATGCACCATCATTAACACTCCTTTGTTGAGCTGCTGTAAGCTTGCGATAATTGAAGTTGGGGAGCTATTTTGATGTCGTACGATACGATTCTTGATGTATTCGGTCTGCGATTCCGCCTCAATTGGGTTATTCGGCGTCTTCGAGACCCAGGGCGGCGGTAGGCCTGCAGAACCTGGCGGTGTTGGCGTATAAGGCTTTACGTCTAGCTGTGAAATGACGTATTCCGGATCGTACGGTACTAGGCCAGTAGCTCTGAAGCCGGCCTGGATATTTGACTTAGTCATTGTAGTGTCGTGCGCCTTATGAAAGGCTGGAAGGAAGTCCTCCTTCGCGACGTGGGTAATATGTGTCACACGGACATATAGGGCACGGACCATACAGGAGGGGTTGCTGCCTTACTCGTGCAGCGGTTAGAAACAACCAACAAGAGACAACCAACAGATTAGGCAGGAGCGGGGCCCTGACATACAAAAGACGGGAGCACCCGCCTCCTGAGAAGAAGAGGAACTTAATCCTCAAGGACCTACAGTAACCCTTAAAAGATTATTAGCAATCCAAGCATCATTATGCCAAGCCCTCACACGAGCCCTTGTTACAATATGCGCCCGCATAAGGCCTTCGATTTCTTTGCTGTACGCCCGTTTTAGAGGTCTAAAGCACCCGACATCGAGAGGCTGGAGCTTATGCGACGAATGAGCAGGCATGCAGAGCGTAATTATATTCTGGTCCTTGCAGTACAGCTCGAAATCGACCGAGTGGTGGCTCGAGGATAAGGAGGCGATAAGCACCCTTCGTACGACTCTTTGTATGGAAATCGAAGTGTTTTACCCATTCTAGACCTCTCTCGTTCGTCGTCCAACCGTTCTCAGAGAGTGCGATTACCCAGTCGTACGGAAGAGGGCTTTCGGTCGTCCAGGAGTCGAGGTGGACCTTGCCTGCGAAGATGATGTACGGCGGAATCGAATTGCCGGACGACCCGATACCCTGGATTACTGTAACCCATTCCTGATTCCCTTATTGTACGGCTCTTGGCTTACCGCGTCGATCGGAGGTTGTAACGACAGTTTCGGCGGAGATCTTGCCCACCGCGAAGCCTGTCTCGTCGAAGTTGTAGATATCGTCGTCGTATATCCCGTATTTCGCGATTATATTCCGTACGAGGGAAAACCACGCGCGATACGCGTCCGGATCTTCGCAGAGGACTCTCTGATAGTCGATTCTTCGACTAAAACGCGTACGGAGCTCAGGTCGTCGTCGTACGAAGTTTGTAGCCCAGTTCGTTCCGACGCGCGGCGCGTCGCGTGCGCGGAGGAGTCGATCCGCCATTTCTCGAACACCACTAAGGCGCGGTGGAAATGATCGCGAATCTAGGTCGATTACGTATCGTACAATGCTGTCCTCTTCGTATGAGGTCAATTTCTGGCTTTGTGGTCGTGAATCGCGCTTTGCAGGTTGACCATGGTATCGTCTGTGGAGTGTTGATTTCGACACGTTGTATATCGATGCAGCTTTACGAATTGTCAATTGTGGGTTTGTTTTAAGCGTATTAAGCGCTAGAATCAAATCGCCTTCAGTTGATTGTCGTGGCATAATTATTGGTGGAGGAAAATAAGAAGAAAGAGAGTGTCTTTCAGAAAGCGGGAAAGTGTCCCACTCCCTTGTTTGTCCCACTCCCTTGTGGAGTACGTTAGTGTAGTTACCTTGCACATGGAGACGAGGCAGGCCCGAAGCGTCACAGCAGATGGAGTTTCCCCTGGAAAAAGTAGGAGGGCCGTTCGGGTGTAGCGAATCACACGTGGTCCAGGCTGGATAGACTGCCCACGATAGTTCGAGACTGATTCACACGTGGCCGATTCTTCCGAAACTCTGCTGAAGGTTACTTTTCCCGAGCGCTTGAAGGCCAATCAACGCAAATATTACGACCCGTCCCTTACTCCCGCGGGCCGACCCACAACCCTTTTGTCTCACTTCTGTGAACCCAGCGGAAATACTAGCTTCAAGAAATCCAGCCAAACTCTATTTAGCTTCAGAGACCCAATGCAATTAGATACTCAGTGGCCGCAGTCTTCTGAGCTGTCCCTCCGAGCCGACACGACAAGACAAAGGCTAGTGGTAGTGCCTGCATGTGGCATGATCTCTGTGGGTTTTTTCCATGACGCGTCTTAGTAAACCGGCTCAATGCGGAGTTGAGCCTTCTGCTAGGTACGAAGCAGATAAGCAGTGCTGGTGGGAAGACCGGCATGGGGCGATGCCACCCATGCCAACACACGAACTCGCGAAGAGATTGTGTTTCTGAGACAGATCTTACCCGGTCCCTTTCATGATGCCTGGGCATGAACAAATCACCGAAAATGGCATACGCGTGAGCAGGGTCGACACCGAAGAGGAGTCGCCCTCCGTGTTGTGTGATCTTCCGCCTCAAGAGATTGCAACGATCTAGGCAGAACCGAGACTGTCTTAGCTTTCACGCAATATCCTAGTCCGACTCTGAGGCTACCTTCGTCTGGTATATGTCACGCACAAAGTATCACATAGCGCACAGACATCCAATCACTGCGAGACCTTCGACAATCATCCAAACGCGCTTAGTGAAATGGCGCTGACGAACCAACACAACGACGTGCGATATCCGATTCGAACCAGCTTCGCGCCGACCGGCTGTGCGTCTACAGGCACGATGGCATGGACAGGAGCCGGCGAAACCTGGCTTTCGTGGTTGATTGCAAGCCGCCGCATAAGTTGGCGTTGCCTCACCTTCGTATTAGTCTGCGGGAAATGAATATACAGAAGGAGGTCGTGAACGTATCAACGATACCAAGCGACAAAGACGAGCTATTCTCATACCATGCCGAAGGGTTGTCGCTGCCGCTGTTTCCCAGATATATCACTGCATGATCATTGGCGGTCTTGCGTACAGCTATGTTACAACTGGCGAGGCAATCATCTTCTTGAAAATCGACTGGAAGGAGCAATTGCTGTTCCAACTTGCGGAGCCACGAGTGGAGGTGCTGGCGCATCCCGACAATGCCCTATGGCGCACAGCTGTCAGTAAGGTCCTTGCCTTCACCCTGCTGGCAATCGAGGAACAACATTCCAACCCCGGGCAGGATGAGCGCTCCCGGGCCATGGAGCACATTGGACGGTGGTTTGCGGACCATGATGCCATGCTAAAGCTTGGTCCAGAGAGTGTACGAAAGCAGACCTCACCGCCATCAGCATATACTTCTCGAGACTATCGCCGTGTCGATCGATCGCCATACGCTTTCCGCTGCCGTCTCGCAGTCTCAACATGCCGGCCAGCGCCAGGCGAAGGTATTGACGACGAGCCTTCTGATCAATCAGACGGTGGAAGCGATGGCACTGTACAGAGAAGTCCCAGCTTAAGACATCCACGCCGTTGTCTACAGCCACGGCAACAACGACCCGACGCGAGCACTGTGTCATCACCCGTACCCTATTGTCTGGAAAAAGTCAAAGAGTGTGGGAAGCGAACACCAATTGGGACCTCCGCCGTAGAATCCGAGAGGAGGGAGATTCGTTCAATTCGTGACAAGTGCGGGAAGGTTTGTTGGCATGACCCGATTTTGTATGCAGACTCCAAACCAGGCCACAAATGACGTTGGAGCACAAAACGGCTGTCTGAGATGTTCCACCCCTGCGTCACATTTGTCCACTGTACCGGATGCTGCCAAGACTGGATGGGCCGTGCACATAGAATCTTCTGCTTGAATCAGACTGTAACACACCTGCTACCGCAGTACATAGTGTTCGTCAAGCCATGCACTGTGCACGACCCAAAATTGGCTCCAATTTCGAAGTCTGGATCTTGAGGGATGGAACGGTGAACCTGAGCCCCACTGTAGCATCTCCCGTCCAGTCCATATCAGCGAAGACGAAGAAGGCGCCTTTAGTCATGTCTCGCCCCACAATGATCGGATTTGGTTTATAATCGTGTATCGGGCTAGTTATATGATCGAACCAGTTGTCGTCGCGGAAGAGTGCAGTCCATGTCTCATTGTGCTCAATTTGCTGCCATTCCAGCTTAATACGGTGATCCTGTAGCGCAGTCTTAACGGCATTAGGGCCCATCCTCTCTGCAATATGGCTCTGCTGGTCAATACGTAAATCTGTGACGGAGTCGAGTTTTCGACCTTGTAGTAAACGTCCTGCCTCAAAGCAGGTCATATCCAACAAACCCGCTAGGTCATAACGGTCCGCCGCCTCAATCAGTTCAAAAAGGAGCTTTGGCTCTAAAGTCTTTAGGAAGTTTAACTCCCAGCTAACTTTCTTCCTAAAGAGATCGTCACTTTCTGTCCACCACTCTCGAACTGACTTCTGTTTTTTTCCATTCGCATCCCCTCCGCATGTATCTATTTCCGCCTTGCGCTGTTGATAGTCCAACTGGTAATCGCTCCATTCATGGATCTTCCGCAAAGCATCGTCGGTCACATCTAAAGGAATCCCATCTGCCTTAATCTCGTCAGGTATATCAAACATCATTGTCCCCCGAAGGCTTTCCTGGCTGGATGTAAGTGATAGTCCTTCTTTGCCGTTAATAATAACTTCAAGCATTATTGTTCAACTGCTAGGTTCGAGGAGCCTCGTTGTGTTGAAGTATGTACCAAGGGTTTCGAGGCTTTTTATGTCCCTTATGCTAATGTAGTTATTTGCAGTTGGGTCCAATTATGGCCTGGAACAAACAAACATCCTAAAACGGCTGTCAAGGTCTATTGCTCAGCTGGATGACGAGACACTTGTTATGGTCTAGCCTCTGGGGTCAAACGCTCTCCCTAGGTTGTCGTGTCTCCCGGAAGCGATATCACTCCCATGCATCTGATTTGTTAGATCAATGAGTAAGGAATGATATAGTCAACTTCAGATCGGTGTCCGCTCGGGATTCCGGGGATCTAAGGAAGTCGATTACGCACGGACCTTTTATCTTGGTGGCTTGGCGGAACATCATAAGACAGCGTCACTTTCAGAGGCCAAAGAGCAGAGAGGAAGATTGAATAGTTACTTGCACTTCCTATAAATCGGGAACCGAACCGGGAAGCCTGTAGCCCCGGAAGCTCCGCAAACGAGGGCGCGTCAATCATGCCAGCGACCCACACTGAAACCACATGGGTTGCAGTGGCACTCGAGACATCGTCACGACCAACGCAAAGGAGCAAACGTCAAATGGACGAGAACCTAGCCTAGCTTTCTAAAAGGCTCTTCTTACGCGGGTATCTGTCCCAGATCTAGCACAGTACGATAGTCTCCTCCACTTTTTGCTGCAGTCTGTCCGCCAGTTGTGCCGCTAAGTCAGCTGGACGAGGTAGTCAAGGGATAAAAGGCTGTCTCCAATCAGGATAAGTAACATCGCGGGGGGACCATCCCACCGTGCGCAGAAATCATCGCATGACACAGCCCGCAAGCGTCTTTGGCTGGAATCATGGCTCGTAGGAGCGCCACTTGGCGAGCTGTACCGTTGTCTCGAACACGGCCGCAGGGCCTGGCGGCGCGGCGAGCTTACATCCTCACTGTCACCACCTATTCCCTTCAGCCGTCGCTATCTTTCGATGCTGTCTCTCACATTCGATCCCGACGCTCTACAAAGGTGCCTCCTTGCGCGCTAGACTTAACAGTTGTAAGCTTAGGCGAATGACGCAACTACGTCAACAGATATCTGAGCACCACAAGTTTGAGCACTGATCCGGGGACAGTTCACATGCAAGCATGCCCTTTGCCTTATTACGGAATATTCTTAATGACGTGGCAGTATGACCAACTCCTGGAGCCATTGACGCTTGCGAACCTGGACCTTCACGGGACCGTACTCCCACATTCATAAAGCTCCCTGAGCAGCAGTTTCCATCAACGTTATCCGAAATCTCGCAGTATCTGGGCGATTCTCTGCGGCGATATTGCTGCTGGACGTTGATGTTCTCCACCCGGACTTTGTCCGATCCGCCCGAGTTCCCAGGCGTTCCGGGGTTATTCCGTTCCGGCCCAGAGAATACTGCACCATCCCCACAACCCCCCTCCAGGTTGAGTCATTGGGATTCATTAGATGGCAGCGCGCCTCCCGGCGTCGCGTTCTCCGCCCACCCACGCAACCACGAACACCCATTATCTTCTCAACCACAAACCACTCCCTCGGTGACATCAAATACCAAACTTCCGCATGTGCAGTCATCACTCTCCGAGTTCTCGTTGCTCTTCTCGACGTCCCTAGTGGACCCGGTGAATGGTGCATGTTGGTTGGTTGGTCGGGTGGCCCACTTCTGTACCATGAAGCTGCTGACTAACGGTGCAGGGGCTGAGAACCGGGTGCGTCGGTGGCTGGGCGGCAAATTCTCCACCGCCCAAAATGTCGCGTCGCGACCTCCCTCGGTCTTCCCCGTCCTTCTCACCATCGCATTCCGTCGACCATGGCAGACCTAGCGCGGTCGCAGATCATCAAGGAGAACCCCATTGGCAAAGGCCTTGATGCCTTCCGCGCTTCATTCAGTCTGATCTGCGAAGGCGCGAGCGTCCCCTGCACTCCAGACTCGCTAGGCAGGCTCGACCGCGAAGGTAAGAACGACAGCACAGCTTCGTTCCATGTGGCCCTTCTGACCATTGTGCAGAGCTGCAGAATCTCACCCTTGATCTTCTTCTGGCACTCCAAAGCCTTCGAATCTCTCGCCTACTTCGTTCCAGCGGTAGTGGCAAGAATCTCCTGAGCGATCTCTCAAGACTCAATTCCGCTGTCAACTCCGACGACTTCGACCTCAATAGCATCAAACCTCTTCTGAATGCGGCTCTTACCGACGACCCGGACGACGCAGTTATCTGGAATGAAGTCTACCACGCCGTCACCGAATCCACTCCGCCGCCCCGACCGACAGCATCATCACTCCACCAAACCCCTTGGCTGCACAACACGAGCAGCTTCGCGAACTCCTCCGAAGGCCGCAAAGATGTGGACAGAGTCCTTAAGTTGGAGCTTGGTCCTCTCTACGTCGGGCTTCCTCGCTTCTACGAGACATATTTCGGACGTGTGGCCGGTCTTGAGACAGCGGCCGAGGCCGTCTTCAAGGAATGCAAGGGAGGCAGCAATCCGCTCTTCCATGAAGGCTGGAGCGGATGGCCAAAAGACGCAAACCAGGACGACGTCTTGAGCTGGTTTGCGGGCGTGTGCGAGAAGCTGGCGGCCTTTGCAGAACACCACGGGTCAAACCCGGCATGTCGACGGAGACCATTGGCACAACCCAACAAGCCAATCCGCGGTTCCACAGGGGAACGCAAATTGGACGTCGGCTTCGTGAACGACACCAAGGCCGACAAGGATTCTCAATGCCACTGGTCGCGGGTCCTCGTCCCCGGCGAGCTGAAAAGCAATCCATTGGCCGACACTGCGTCCAAGGCATGGCTTGATCTTGGGAGGTACGCGAGAGAGGTTCTCGCTGCTCAAGACACCCGTCGGTTCGTTTTAGGCTTCACCATTTGCGGATCTCTCATGAGGATATGGGAGTTTGACCGGCTGGGGGGGGTCGCATCCGAACAGTTCGACATCAACAAAGATGGACTGCAGTTTGTGTCCACGGTCCTCGGCTTTCTCTGGATGAACGAGGAGGAGCTTGGGTTCGATCCGACAATCATGACGGCAAACAACGAACGATTTATCGAGATCGAGCGGGACGGCGCGACAGAACGCCTCATCATCGACCGGGTGATGCAACGCGCACGTTGCATAGCTGGTCGGGCGACGACTTGCTGGAAAGCTCACCGCGAAGGACACCCACAGTCATCGCTTGTCATCAAAGATTCGTGGCAATATCCAGAACGTGACGAGGAAGGCGAATTTTTACGCGAAGTGACCGGCAAAGGCGTCGTCAACATGGCCCGCTATTATCACCACGAGACTGTCCAAGTTCATGGCATGGACGACGACATTCAAAGCAACGTTCGAGGAGGACTAGATGTTACCAGAGCTACGAACTACCGACCGGAACGTTCGATGCCTCCACCGAGTACCACCATTTCTGGTGCTTCGCGGAAAGGCCGTAGCAACAGCATCGCTGGCAAGAAGCGGTCTTCAAGCCGAACTGGCGCCGCTTTGCCCCCCACCAAGCGATCCTGTTCAGCATCTCCAACGAAGGCCAGCAGCAACGCAATGCCAAACCGGTTGCATCGGCGTGTCATTCTTCAGGACTACGGAGTACCCATCTACAAGGCGAGCTCCCGATCGTCTCTCCTTGCCGCACTGGAGGGCTGCATTGAAGGACACGAATCCCTGCACAAGGCCGGCTTCCTTCACAGAGACATATCCATCAACAATCTCATGATCAACGAGGACGACGAAAATATCTCCTGGCCTTCGTTCTTAATCGACCTGGACCTCGCCGTCAGAGAACAACGTCAAGGCGCCTCCGGAGCGAAGGGCAAGACCGGCACGAGAGCATTCATGGCAATCGGGGCCCTTCTAGGCGAACAGCATTCCTTCATGCACGATCTCGAGTCGTTCTTTTGGGTCTTGTTCTGGATATGCATCCATTACAACGGGCCGGGCGAGAGCAGAATCATTCCACGGTTTGAGAAATGGAATTACGTCGATACGGAGGAGCTTGCTGGGATGAAACTCGGCGTTGTTGCGAAGGAGGCGATTTTCATGAAGACCATCACCGATAATTTCTCGCCATACTACCAGCCACTTATTCCGTTGTTGGTCAGGCTACGAAAGACGGTCTTTTCCGGAGGCGGGCCATGGGAACAAGAAGACGACGGGCTTTACTCTCGAATGAGAGAAGCTCTCCAGGAGGAGTTGACACTCATGTCGGCAGCGCGCAGGAGCCAACCTCCGGATATTGCTTACGATACTACGGCGACTACTCTAGTGGATGGGCCAGTTGGGACCGAAGCAGCGAAGGAAGACCATGAATGCGTATGAGACCCGACAACTGCAAGCCGACGATACACGCCGCTTCATGCCTCTCAGGTGTCCGCACGCAGCTGCAGCATGTGGAACGTACACCTTACGACGATGCTGGCGCGGAGAACAAGCTCCTGCATGACCTTGGCTCGCCGCAACCATCGCCGCCACCGCCGCTCCATTACCGCTGCGGCCCGCTATGTGTGACTTGACGCATCGGCTTCGGGCAGCAAAGATGGATGTCACACAGCGCACTGCCTGGCAGACTGCGCCGGTCGTAACGCCGGTGGCGGTCACAAACGGCGGCCCAAATATGGGACCGTTCCATGAAGCCCAATTTTGGGCCCATCAGCGGAGGGACAGCACTCACAAACAAGATATTCATTCAGCAGCGAGCTGGGTCCTATTCTACTGTACAGCGGCGCCGCAGCGCTCGACATCGCGGACCGCCAGAACGCCCACAGCATGACGCTCGCCGCGCGGGCCGTCGTTGAGCTCTTCCGCCTGGTGAAGCGTGAGAGCAAAGTCAACCGCGAGCTTCTGGCCTTTTCCATCTCGCATGACCACTGCTCGGTAAGAATTTATGATTGCTATCCAGTCATAGATGGAAAGGACACCAAGTACTATCGCCACCCAATCCACAAATTCGATTTCACAACGCTGGATGGCAAGGAGAAGTGGACGGCGTATCGTTTTACGAGGAACGTCTACGACGTATGGATGCCAAAACACTTCGAGAGGATCTGCTCGGCCATCGATCAGCTGCCGTCCAAGTTGGACTTTGATGTTCTGTCGCTCCCAGAAACAGGTCTCTCCCAGGGGCTGGAAAGCCACCATCTGTCCCAGCCCGACGACACGGCATCGGCGTCAAAGGAGGATGATCGCCAGTCAAGCGTCGTCGACCACCGGAATACTCCAGACACCTCATTCACGGGACCAGGGGCGGCAAAGAGGCGGAGAGAAGGTACGAAATAGTCTCACCAGTTAGTGCGTCAGCAGAAGAATGCAGGTCCTCAACTTCCAGCTCCGTTCATCCCAGATCTTACCCGGAAGCACGTGAGAAACGCCTGAGATGGTCTACAGGGTTTTCCTTCTAGAGGCCCAGCAATTGTCCCTTGCAATCGGGACAGCACCTGGACTGCAGATAAGCAATCCAGACCCTGGCCCGCGACGCTCCTGCCACCCGAGCTCAGCAAAGCTCGCATACTCACGTACGGCTACAACGCGTATATCGTGCGGAATTCGGTCGCATCAACAAATGGGCTGACCGAGCATGCCAACAACCTCTTGAACGACTTGACGACCGACAGAACCCGTTCCAACGCGTCCTCTCGACAGTCTTGGTCGCCCACAGCCTGGGCGGCCTCGTCTGTAAAGAAGCCATTCTACTCTCGCGAAACAACCCTAATGCACACCTCCGAGGCATATTCGATTGCACTAAGGGCATCGTATTCATGGGCACTCCTCACAGGGGATCCTGGATGGCCAACTGGGCCAGGATACCGGCTTCGGCTCTTGGGATAGTAAAATCCACCAATAAGTCGCTGTTGAACATCTCGGAGACAGATGACAAGTACCTCCGGTCCGTTCAAGATCGGTTCTGGTCCATGGTACGGGAACAACAGAAGGCCGGCCGGGATCTCGAGGTTACATTCTTCTTTGAAGAGCTTCCTTTGCGTGTGGTCGGAAAAGTCGTTTCTCAGGACTCGGCCACTCTTGAAGGTTACAATGCGTTTAGCATTTACGCCAACCATAGCGATATGGTCAAGTTTGGCTCCGCGGACGACAATGGCTTCAAAAGACTGCTTGGCGAGCTGACCAGATGGGAGTCACAATTCGGGAATTCAGCTGCCAGTCAACCAACACGATCGAGGGGAGAAGCACAGATCGAGAAACCAGCCAACTCATCCTTTAACAGCTATGGCCCCGGCGACCAATTCAACGCTCCTGGCGGTACTCAGAATATTAGCAAAGGCAGCGGCAACCAATTCCCTGGGGCTACTTTCTCTGGGTCTGTGCAATTTGGCTAAAAACTAGATCGGCTTGTGGGTGTTTCGATGCTGTTAATGTCTGGGGCTCTTAGCTATTAAGATCCTGGGGATAGACCATTCCCCGAGGGCCTGACGGGTCAGCTGATGACGATTCTGGCTAGGAGATTCGATCCCTGGATGTCAGAGCCTCTTCAATGGCTATACATCTGGAACATCGTTTCCCCCCACAGGGCACCTCCCGCTATGGTCTCGCCGCATTCGGGCAAGATAGAGTATCCTATACCTCTAGGATGGTGTTTGAGACCCTGCCGAGAACCAGTCCCGTATACCGTGTAAAAATTCTAGCGCAACTGCACAATCGCAACAGTACCCTGGTTCGAATAAGTATTTTCATTAACGTAGATCCCGGTCAAGCGGGCCACCCGGTCGAGCGCGCCACCCTTAAGGTATTCGGACGACAATGTATAGAAAAAATCAACCAGAACGCCTTAAATCAATTCAAACTAGATGAAATCCTCTTCTTCAGAGGTAGACTCAACTATCTGACACGTACGAGCATTATGGCCGGGCTCGCCGCAAACGCCACAGCGTCGCGCGCGCGTCTCTGTCCTCCTCGCGCGACCACTATTTTGACTTGTTTCTGCCCGTAACTGCTCCGTCTTGAATGTCGATTGAAGCCTCAAGAAATTCCTGAGTGTCTTACGATTGATTCATTCTCGGCCCGGCCGTTACCTATAGAAGGCTGTAGATGTCCGATCTGTGGAGCGAGGGGTTGAGATTCCTCGACTGTCCAGGCTCTAACGTAATCAAGACGACCGTTCAGAGCACCGGAAGAGTCTTACTAGCGGCTCGTTATCGATTTTGTGAGCACATGACCATATACAATGATAGCCGCGTCATGCCCATTACATCAATGCCATTTTAACCGTGGCTGGGGACTGCTGTCCCACAAAGACTGAGCAGTCGTCTTAGCGGGATCAGGTAATAGTGGATGGAATCATGTTTTGCAACGGAATTTGCTAAGCTGACCACATCCTGTGACAATCCCTGCGACGGCAATAACCGAACTCTCTCCGCAGCTTGAAAAGCTGTGCCACCTGATGATTTCCAGTGCAACTACTTGACTTGTACTACGTCTATTATGCCGTTTCTCCTCTAAAAATATGAACGACCCGTCACCTAATGGTTCCGACAATGGTAACGGTCGAATACGATGGGCTCTCGACCAGGCTGTGACGCATGTTAGCTACTTCTCCAACTCGAAAACCATGAGAGCTATACTATAAGTATTACAGATTGGCTGAGAATCTTACCTGTTATTGTCGGGCCTGCTTACTTTGGTTACGGCCTTGGGGGCGGCTTTGGAACTCCAGTGGTATCGTAAATGCCGCGTGACATGGCTCCGGCTGACAATCCACGTACAAACCAAGTTGCTAGTAGAGTCAAAATCCAGGAAAGCTGCAGAGATGAACTGACGAATGCAAGGGGAGAAGCTAATGAGATAATAGGTGCGAGAGTAAAAGGTGGTTAGATGATAGTAGGGAATATTCGGACTAATCGAAATAGGGTGAAGCACTTCTTATAGACGAAGAAGCTGGTATCCTTCTCCGAAAGAAGAAACCAAAGATCCAAGAGCCAGCCATGACACTTCGATATTTCAGGGCTACGCAGGGACCGCCGAGGACGTGCAGGACGGCTTCTAAGGATGCGCATCCGATTGGCCAAATTGACGACGGCTATATCCGACTGAGAGATGCCCTAGTCTGTTGACTGATTCTTATGCGACCACATGAGGGTCTGTTTCCAGCCAGGTATCGCTATGGCCTGCAGTAGATCTATTCTTGAAGGATCTTTCAGATGTGAGGACGAAGTCATCTTGCATGCAATGAGGAGATATTCGTCACTTCTGTGAACAGGCAGAATCCACTAACATGCTCACGGCTTTCAGGACCCAGCTGGTGATGAGGTTTGATTCATATAGTTCAAGGTATTGGCAATCCAGCGTGACTTGCGGATCAGCGAGTTGCCGTGCCGATCCACGCCGTTCTCTATTGGAGCAGCAGTCCAGACCAGGGACGAGCTCGATGATGGGGATGACACTGAAGTTACTGCCAATTGTGGCTGGGCGGACACTGCGACCGTCGTTCATGAGTATTTGAGCTCACTGCCCGGGCAAGTGTGTAAGCGTAGGCCAAAGAAACGTGGCTATGGCATTTCGCACAGTTGTCTAGATTTCGATGATCAAGAGTTTAAAGATGTGGGATAGAGGCTTCAGCCCCCATGATCTCTGTGCGATATCGTTTCTCTAGGTCGGTCGGGCCTTATCGCGGCTCGTTTCATCCATTGTCATGCCGAGAGCGCCCCTGAGCGCCCCTGAGTAAGGCTTCGGGATCCCTCGTGCCTGGACAAGGCACATCAGAGCAAGGATGGCACGAGGATAAACCCCTGCTAGCTGATATGTGTTTCGAGGCTGAGTCTGACAGCGGTATTCAATTTGCTAATATCTGCAACGTGATTGCGTTGCCATTCGAAGCTTTGCGAGCACGAGTAGTTCTGGGGTTGGGTCATACTAGCCGCTAGGATCACCGTGCACATTCTCAAAAGGTATCCCAGCGTCTGTGCAAATAGTCGGGGATCGAGAGACGCACTAGTCTCACCAGCCTGATCGTCCTGAGCCTGATTCGGGCCAACGGATGAGGTCAATGGCCGTGTGACCGCGACCGAGCAGCGGCATTCATGCCACCTGGCGAGGAGCGACAGTGAGCATTTGTCATTACACGTCAAGTCCTCGGCGTATACTCAAGACTCCTATTACAAGGGAATGGGACTTACTAGGATGACTAGCGAACACTTTTAGTGATGCCGGGATGTGATATGCCGTAGCCAGTTTTGTAATGAGTATCTCCTACAGTTCTTAGCTTTTTCCAGCACCTCAAGAGCAGCTCGCGCGCCGTCAACTAATCACATCCGTTCTTGACCGTTCCGAAGCAAGTATCTGTCGGGTCTTTCGTAACAGGGGCCGCTTGCGAGGTACTTCAGACGAGTGCAACACGATACCATTGGCCCATGTTGCATCGTATATCACCATTCACACATGCGAGGAGGTTGAGACTTTGTGTACAAAATCACAAGATGATGATGATTCTTAGTGATACGGTATCATCCGCGCTATCGGAAGAGAGCACTTCGCCTTCATATCGCATGCTGGTTCCAGCATCGGAAATCGGATGAGATGCCAGCTTGATAAGCCAGGAATGTATTTGCATCCTTCCGCCTGTGCCGCGCATACCTGAGTGTGTATCAGATTGGCGAGCCTGCCTGTCCAGATGAATCAAATCCCTCTTCCCTTGCCAAATCGCTGCACGAGTCTGTTCAAATTGTCTATATAAACAGGGAGAGACTGCCTACAAGAGTTGCCCGCATGCGCGATACTATCTTGACATGAGATTGTGACGCCGGCTTGCTCCGGAAGGTGGTATTAGTGCTTAGCAGTGCCTTTGGGGCTGCCTCTGCACTTGGCAAACTCGGGTTCCCCGAAGATTCTGATGCTTGGACGGTGTCTCATTTGGTCTCTTGCGCACAATCGAATACACCCAGCCGTCTGTCGCCTTAAAAGGCTTCCTTTATATCAAACTCAGCACTAGCCATGAACGCCGATGAATGACAGCCACCCGACTTCTCCCTCGCTTAATCATCCCACTGCTTCACCGGCTTCTCCCCCTTCAGCAACCTCGCGAGGTTCAGCCTTGTGCTGTACAGCACATTCTCCGTCGTCCCGACCTCCCTAAACTCATCCCCGCCACCATTGTTGATATCCGAGTCCCCGCTGACCCTGCCCCGCGGCCGGTGGTGCACAAACAGGCTCGGCACGACACTGACGCAGCGCATCCCGTTCGCCCGCAGCCGGCAGAGGTCGCTCAGGTGGTTGTCGAACGGCTTGTGCTGGCCCTCGAGGCTCATGTACTCGAGCGCCCTCTTGGCCCCCGTGTGGCTCAGCGCGTACGCGAAGCTGCAGATGTTGTCCCCGGGCACGTACACGACGCGCGTGTTGTCCGGGTACTCGTCCCACTTCCAGCCCGCGTTGCCCACGCGGTGGTGCCGCGGCGGGGATCTGGAGGTGCTCGGGCAGCAGGTTGCCAAACGTCGACGCGCACGAGCCGATCCACAGCATATCCCAGTCCTGCCCGTAAGGGCTCTTGCTCGCGGGGCCGGGGATCGAGGCATTGTGGCTGGCGGGTTCCACGAACCAGCTCCCTTCCTTCTGGAACTCTCTGCTCGCGCCTGCAAAGTCGGCGAGCCGGTCCTTCAGGGAGACGTCCCAGTCCATGTCGTCCTCCATGATGAGCGCGGACGTGATGCCCTCGTCGACGATGCGCCGCATCGTGTTCATGTGCCCTCGCCACGAGCCCAGGTTGGTGTCGGACCGCCCTTCCGGTCCCAGCCGATGGGCAGGGCCTTGTCCGGGACGGTCGACCCGCGGGCCCCGTCGATCCAGGTTATCGTGAAGCCCGTGACGGCGGACATGAGGCTGAGCGCATCGCGCTTGTCGGTGCGGTCGGGCAGGCCGATGGCGAAGACTTTTTGGAACTGTCGGTTTGATTGAGGAGGGACAGGTGTCAGCAAATCTGTCATTATCCTGTAGCTTTTCGGCAGTTCCGTGGGAAGAACCCCTATCATGCCCAGTTTCCAGCGCTGCGGCGCAAGTAATACGAGAAGAACTTACACCAAGCGTGTCATTGTACACGCTCCCCACGCCATCTCTGCTTCCCCCTCCCTGCCCGTGCCCTACAGCGCCGCCCACGCTGCCCTTCAGCGACGACAACGTGCTGCTCCCGTGCTCCGTGTGCACGAGGAAGAACCAGGTCGCGGAGAAGACCAGCACGCCGGCGAGCAGCAGGTGCTTGGCGTACGCGGGGCCTGGCAGGACACCCATCTTTTTTTTTTTCTTTTTTTGTGTCTGTGTCGTTTTCCTTTTGCTTTCCTTTGCTTTGCGTTCTTTTACTCGTTTGCTCGTAATTCCCCAGGTGTGGATTCGAAGTGTAGTTGGAGAGTGAAGACTCAGTATGGCAGGAATGCTGACGCGAGAGTGGCTGCGATTCTCGCTCTCAGATGAACGAACCGAAATTCAGAACCGGATCCGTCAGCAAAGGCGGAAAGTCCCGTTTCCTGAGCGAGTGACGAAAAATGCCAAATGCCAAATGCCAACAACAGCCCTGGCGTAAACAAAGCCAAAGTACCCTCAGAAGACCCAAGCGATGACCAAAACCTAAAGTCGCGCAGACGACAGAACAACGGCAAGAGGAAAAGTCTCACGCGTCGAAGCCTGGGGGGGAGGCGAGCGACGGCTGCAGACCAGACCCTTTTTTAAAAAGGAACAAATCAACACTGGAGAGGAGGAGCAGGGGCAGGACCGGCGCCACCATGGAATTCTAACTGCACGCAGTAATAAGCCTGCTGCTGGTGTATGTGTGTGTCTGTGTGAACCATGCTCATCTTGCTCTTTTCGACCACTCACACCAGTGACTCCTCGCACTCTGGGTGCGGTACCACCAATCAGGCACACCCCACCCCGGCACCTTAGCGGCAGGCACGGGACATCTCAGGCGTCAGCCAGCAGGGGGACCACCCCGGCAACGCGCAAGGATCAGAGCTGCCAGAGGGCCGGAGGGACGCATCGCTAGAACTCGGCTGAATTTCCTTGGCTGCGTCGCAGAGCTAACTTAGACTCGATGGCGGCGGCGGACGCAGACGGGTGGAGGCTGAAAGGCACCGCCACCACGACCCTACCTTGGGGTGGGCGATTGATTACAATATGGTAACTAACTTAGCGCTCGGCTGGATTAATAACCCGCTCAGCCCGTAAGACCGTGCTGCCCGTGCGGCCGCCGTGTGCCTGCTCCGCCCGCCTGTAACTTACTCCGTACGCCATGAGTGTCTGGGCGCGGCCGGGTACCTCAGGGACTGATTACTTAAAGTACCTAGAGAAAAAACGGAGGGGGTTGCCCTGCTGCAGACTCGGCCCCGTCCGCGCCGCCGCCAGTCAGCCGAGAGCAAAGAAAAAAAAAGTTCGTGTAATAATAGGGATGCTCGGCTCCCTCCAGCCGGGCTCAGCTTCCTTGAGCCTGGGTTTCGATCGAGGACCACTATGTGCCGTCCCTCATTTTCGCCTGTGCCAAGAAGAACTATTCTTCATCGTCGTACAGGAGCGACTTACTTGTCAATGGCACATGCTGCCGTCCACTACTTGACACAATCATCCCCATCTCCCACCTGCGGGTGGCAGCCGGCCCCCGAGAGAGGGCGGAGTGGGACGGGACGGGACACAAGTTCTGTACCGGGCGAGATAATAAGCTTTCGGTCTGGCACCGAGTCCGTGCCCCTGGTGCCAGGCCTCGCTGGCCCGGCCCAGCCCAGGCACTGCCCCGCCCAGGCGCGGAACTTGCCGGCCCCTGATAAAAAGCAGGGTTAGGTATTCCCTGAGCCCGCCAATGGAGAGTGCAGCTGCTGGAGATGACCCTGCGGGAGGGAACGGCTGAGAAAGATGTCAAGATTTCTCGTGCCCATGAATCTTGAACGGACAATCCAAAGTGCATGACATCCGCCAGCTCTCAATTTCCAACCCACTTCATGCGATTTCCACACTCGCACCGAAGCTCAGAAGACGCGGGCTACGATGGCAGAGCGCTTCTAACCGTCGGATATCGCAGCAACTACAGCAATCCTTCAGTTCGAAGCTTGTCGAGCGACCGAAGACTCCATCGGCGCTAGAGCCACCCCTCCAGTTTGTCTCAGTTCATCACAAAGCTTGGGCGAATCTCCGCTAAACGCCGCTCGCGATGTCAACATCATCCGAAGAGCTTACCCCTTACCTAGGGCAAGTCGTCCCCTTCTCAGTAAATGCTGGCCTTCTCGCGCTCAGCTATATCGTCAGTCTCATCGGAGCCGGATCAACACTTGAGTTGATCAACCGGCGGACGTCTCGAAGAGGGCTTTACAACCAGTCAGTCTCTCCGTGCGCAAAGCTGCTATGGGATACTTCCGCTAATCCCAGGCCAGCATGCTTCTATGTGGCGCAGCCATCTCGATGGGAGGCATTGCGATCTGGTCCATGGTGCGCTGGGCTGTCTTCCGTCCTGAAGCTCGTTCATAAGTACTGACGGGTCCTCAGCATTTCGTAGGTAACAGAGCAGTCACTCTCCTCAATGGAGAGCCAGAGCTGCAAATAGCCTACTCGGTCCCTATCACGGCCCTCTCCTTCTTCGTGCCCATCGTCGTCCTCCTCGTCGCATTCCTCGCCGTGTCGACGACGAACAAGGTATACTGGTGGCGCATCGCCTTGTCGGGATGCCTATCCGGGTGCGCCATCTGCGGGATGCACTACCTCGGCAATGCATCCATCAACAACTACCGATGCATTTACGCCGTCGCCAACGTCGCGGGCGCCGCCGTGATCGCCGCCGCTGCGAGTACTGTCGCCCTAGCGCTATTCTTTGTGTTCAGAGTGGCATGGACGAACTCGCTGTGGAGGAGAGTGGGATGTGCAATCATACTGGCTGGTGCAGTGTCGGGCATGCATTGGTGTGCCGCGATGGGCACGAGCTACGAGTTGCTGCGCTTAAACTTGAAGGAGAGTGGCTCTTCTCGGGATACAACCGTCATCCCGGTTATATGTCTCGTGAGTCTCAGCCCATTCCGCCAACTTGAAAGTGCTAACAGTCTTCCTCTGCAGTCAATTGGCGCCTGCTTCATCATGGCAGGCATAGCGATTTACTCGGCACGGATACGCAAGGGCTATGCAAGTAAGGCCCAGCGAATAGTTCTCGCTTCTGCAGTGTTCGACAAACGGGGGAGGATTCTAGTCACGCCCGATGGCGTGCTCCCCAGTGAAGAGATCACAGACTCTTTTCTCCAGAAGGTGGTGGAGTTGCCTTACTACCAATATAGTTGCAGATCGACTAACAGTGGCTTAGTCTCATGATGCTGTCTTCAGCACGGCACATCCGCTCTTTCACTGGATGTTCCGGGCATCTCGAGAGTGGTCAAGTCTCTTGCCCCTAATTGGGCGTATGAACAGTCATTTGGCCGGCCTTCCGCACAAACCAGGCAATAACAGAAGTGGGATAAAGTTGATTCATGAGGATGGCAAACTAGCAGACAACTACGATATTATATTCCGCGAGCTATTCTGCCTGGCTGCTGCTACACTGGCTGAGAAGATGCGAGAGAGTCTGACAGATGTGGGCATATTGTGGGATGAAATCTTCGCCACAGGTACGGCGTGCTGAAGAGTCCTGTTCATGGACAAGAATCGCTGATACTATATAGGAACACCCTGTCCCGCTTCCCGGGACGGCGACGATTTGGCTCAGAAGCGACAGGGTCCTCGCTCCCGGGAGTATGCTCCGGGTTCCCTAATGATTCTGGTACGCCGGGTGGAAAGCCAGCGTCTTGTTGACAAGCTGGGAGCAATGGGATACCTCTTTGCAGAGGTGCGTCAGGTGTCGCACATCATCGGCACCCGGATGCAGATCAAGACTGCTAATCTCGAAGACAACCTACGGGTAATGTCCAACAGCTTACAGGACACGATGCTGGACCCTGGAATTCACCTCGGTCTCTTTGCTGTCCGAGCCCGACTAGACAACCGCGGATTCGACGTTCTAGTCAGAAAGGAAGCGCGCAACCTCCTCCCGACCACGAAGCTATCCTTGGAGCGGCTCGAGGAGTGGCAGGTGGTTTTCCTGCGCCGCCTGGAGGGTCTGAACTTTGCTGCTGCTGTGGAGAAACTAGACCGAATGAAAGGGGACTGTTCGCCACAGGAGGCACAGCTAGTACGCATCCTCCTGAACGCCATGAAAGTGTTCCGAAGCTCAATCAGCGATCCGGTTTTCGACACGGCAACTCTGTCGTCGACAATCGTTCGCGTACCCTGTCGTCCAGCCACTGATGTCGCTCGGCCGATGAACTGCTCCCTCCTCACATTCAGCATGGTGCTGCCAATCCACGCCGGACCCACTGTGCACAAGTTCAAGTTCATCCCCCTCCAGTTTTTCAAGACGCACCAGCTCGTATACAAGAACTCGCCGTGCCACGCTGCTTTCGCGCGGGACGTGCACCGCGAGATGTCATCTGTGCTGAACTCAGTGTCAGTCGGCCCTCCGCCACTCGTTCGCTCGGGGACGTCACCCCCCGCGCGCCGAATGATGTCGCCTTTCTCCAGACTCAGACGTCAACAAGGGAAGTACCGCTTCGGCGCCGTCGATGCGGCGGGCAACATCATCTCGACCAGTCAAGAGCGCCTTTCGACGACGATCTTCGACAAACTGAGCATCAAGAGCAGCCAGGAGCACGACCCAATGTCGCCAATGCTGCTGGGCGGAGAGAAACTGTCAGATGATGGGCAAGCGCTTCCAATGGGGTATCCTCAGCACCACCAGCAACTACGGCTCGGTGGGATCATGGTCTCGCAGGAGATTACTGTTGACGTTCAGGAAGTCAGCAGAGTTGAGCCGAGGAGTCTTCCGGCGGCATATACGCCCAGCGATCACCGACGGATTCCAACGGTGTTGGTACGGTGGAAGGGTAACCAGGGGGTGGCGGGTAAAGGCGACAGGACGAATCGAGAAAGTCTCGGGAGTGGTGGGGGACCCGGGGAGCAGGAGTCTGCTATCGAGATGAATGACGTGACTGGTGTTCTTCGTTTCGGGTCGTCGAATGTCGAAGTCAAGAAGGAGGATGAAGAGGTCACTTTCGTAGAGGAACTGTTTGCAGCCTGCATGGGTGAGATAGTGAAATAATGCCTAATACAGAAGCAACTAAAAATATCCAGACATCAGCTCGGCCTCTGAGTTGTACCGAATGACTCAGGCTCTGAGGAGGAGGGGGCGTCGTCGGTGGAGGCGTCTGTTAGGCTAGGGTAAAGAACCTTGAGTGGTTGTCGGCCACGGCGTTCCTGTGTCTATGTTAATACGTTTCTGGGTTCGTTGATTCGAGGCTCCGCGATTGTCGGGTCTGTCGGCTGCTGCACCCATCACCGCTCTCGCGATTTGTTTTGCTTTTTTCTGCTGCAGGAGGTCTAGAATGTCGTTTCTGGCCCCGGTAGACGCCACTGGTCTACGGCTGAACTGGCGGGCGCGCAATATTGTCCGATCCTGTGCGTTAGCTTTATGTGTAGCTGCATGAGGCAATCCGAATTGGGCATTCAGCCCTTTTTGGCTCAAGCTCAACTTTTGTCGCCGGGGAGGTCGCTGACAGACTTCTTTGCCGGGCCGGATACCACTGGAGCTGGTGTGTCGCCCGCAACAGCAATGTACGTTGCCGGTCACCACCTCAGAGTTCCGGCGATCCTTTGCTCGACCCCGATGATGTTCACGACCCGGGCCATGACTGCCTTGATGGGCATGTAGCTGACGCCGTCAGGGACGAGAGTCAGCTCCGAGTGGTTGGAGGTCGTTGATTCTGGCGCATTACCCCAGTCAATTAGTGGTGGCTTATGCTCCGTACGCTTAGTTTAAAATAATCGAGCTTGATGGCATCTGTGTCTCGGCATCACCTGAGAGTAGGGATTTTCTCCTTTGCAATATGGCCTTATTCATTGTGCAGTACTACATAGCTTGGCTTTCATGTGCTCTGGAGAAGACGAAATGTGTCTAGTCCAGTGGTACTTCTATCACCTGGATTATGGCGTCGTACCGATTCTTGCGGTTTGCTTATAGCCGAAAACCTCAGCCATTCTGCAGGAGATCTACAGGAGGAACCTCTTAGGAAGCCAGTTTGAGACGAGACAGTGGCAACAATCATTTGAGCGTCAACTTGCGGCCCAGATGATGCGGACTCCGCAGCGACAAGCGGCGAGTTCGTGTTCTAGAGTAACCATATAGACACTAGATTCTAGAAGATTCAACCTGCTGTCATCAATTTCCTTGTCAGCGCATGGCGCTCATTGATCGCTTGCAGTATGCAGCTGCACCGAGATGCGGGCTTCAGGGCTTGGCGAGTTGTCATCAATTAATTAGCTACAGGCAAGTTCACCAGAAGCAGCATCCTGTCGTTTCAATCACGACCAGGCGATGCGCCAAGAAATTAAGACTTGTAATGCCGTGTCGTTATGCCTACCTACCTGTAGGTACTTATGTAATCACTTGACCATGTTTGTACGGTTGCTGATCGTGCTGGGCGTGTCCCAGTCCCCGATATGTTATTTTTGGACGCCCTTTCAGTCCCGTTCTAGAAGGTGGTGGGCCCGCTGTTTCATGGGACGGGCTCTGGTTTACAGGCAACTCAAAGCCATAATTCAGAGACGGTTTAGGGTTTCCAGCATTCGGATTACCAATAGCGATTGTCTAAGCAGAGCGCTACAGCCTTTATAAAGTGTTAAGCTGTGCTTCCACACGCATGCATCAACGTCAATCCTTCGAGATCACACCAAGCTCTGTCCTTATCAACACATCTGATTCGCTAATGACAATGCCGGAGCGTCAGTATTCTCCAAACGAGGAGACCACCACCCGTAAATGGTTTGAGTCAGGTCAGAGCTTATTTGACAGGGTGAGCTTGCATGAAGTCTTACTTAAGTTCACGACAGACTGACCTCCGAAATGGGCATAGTGGCTAGTATCGCGTCAGAGAGCAGAGCCCGTACCTGGTGCGGTTGATGTCTGTGAAGCTTGCGGCGACAGTATTAACCCCCCCGAACAAGGACGCATTATTCTCGCCTGCAAGTGCTCATACCAGCACCGAGACGGGCTCTTCTCTGGCCAGCGAACATGTGGGGTCGGGGCGAGCTTGCCCACACCCAGTGATTTTGCTCCGTCATCGGGCATCGACGCGTTAGGCACCTGCTTGAAGGTGTGGCCTATGACGATTGCATCAATGACCTCCTCCACAAGGGCCGACAGGTCAACGACAGCGGTCAGGCTGAGGCTGTCGAGTGAGTCAGAAGATATGCCGCTGATGACCTGCTCCTTGTCTGCAGGTTTGCGCCGTCGTGTGCGACCGAGACGGTTGATCTTGCTGTAGTCGAGGACGTGGTTGAGCGTGTCGAGCAGAGTCTTGCCACACGTCGATATAGACGAGACAAGACCAGCCTGGAACGAGTCTGCCGAGGTGTCGGCCAGAAACTCTGCGGCCCCCAGGATGCCGTGCAAGGGACTGCGCAGCTCGTGGCTTATGCTGGCGATAAAGGTCGTCTTGGCTGCTTCATTCTTCTGAGCACTGATACGGGCGACCTGGCTCATGATGCTGTTGGCAAATGCTCGCAGGTACGACAGGTCGTCGTCAAGATTCATGAGTCGGCCTGCGACGGCCGTCCAGAGGAAGCAGCCGCCAGAGAAGCTGTTGTCCGTGTGGTCGAAGAGGGGCACAAACACGACCGTCTTGTCGCCAGGGATACGCTGGAGAAGCTCGGTGTGATCCGTCTTGGGCTTCTTGCGATGGTGATGGTGGTGGTGGTGGTGATTATGGTGATTGTCGTTGCTGTCGTTCTTGGTCGCCCTTTGCTGCGTCGTGGAGCTCGTATGAGACGGGCCGCTCTCGCGCGGCGTGTCCCTCTCGCTAGCGCTGTCGTCTTCTGAGGTGATGCTGGCACCCATGCCTGGAAGGAGAAGGTTCTGCCCTTTGGGAAGAGGGAGTAGTACTTCTCAAGCGTGCCTAGTGTGAGAGCCCCCTTGCCCTGCTCAAACATTGCGCGGGTCTGCTAGTCTATGATGGAATACGCGAGGACCCGCGACAGCTTGTCCCCACGGAACGTCGACGGGCTGGCCATGCTGTCCATGACATCGCTAGGCAGGTCTGACGCATCTGGGGACGATACGACTGGCTCGTCGTCTTCGGACGACAGAGCGCCGTTGACCGGACGTGCGGCGGCCCAGCTCGTCTGGCGGGAGCTGCTGGCGGACGCGCCGAGGAGCACAGCACCGTCGGCGAGCGTCGACTGGCACAGGATGTCGGCGGCCTGCTGGAGCATGGTCGACATGGAGTCGGACTTGGACCGCTTGTTGCTGCTCGAAGACTTGCCCTTGGACTGCCGCCGCTCCGGAGCCCCTGGCGAGTAGGGCAGCAGCGCACCGGCCTGAGCGTCGAGGGTGTCGTGTGTGTCGTGTTTCTTCTCCAGCAGCGGTGCGGTGGCGGGAGCAGGGTTGCCAAAGTACGAGGTTTGGCGCGAGAGCGGGTGTCTCGGGGAGTTGAGGGCGACCTGGGGCGTCCGGGGCCGGTGGTCAATGGAGGCGGTCGAGGTGGCGCGCGAGTGTGGCAAGCCGCCCGGGCCGGCCGAGCTCTCGATGAAGGCTGCGAGCCCGCGGACGATGCGCTCGCCCTTGAAGCGGTCGACGCGGTCGCGCGCCCACTCGAGGTGCTCCATGATGGTGCGGGCCATGCCCTGCATGAACTGGACGTCCTCGAGGCTGAGGCCGTCGCGGACGTGGCCGTCGGACACGGCATAGGCGCCAATCTTGTGGCCGGCACGCGAGATGATGGGCACTCCGGCGTAGAAGCGGATGTAGGGGCTGTCGCGGACGTAGGGGCGGTTCTGGAAGCGGGGGTCGATGCTGCAGTCGGGGACGACAAAGGCCTGCGTCGTGTGGTGCTGCTGGCGGCCGTCGGGCGCCGTCGAGGTCGTCGTGTAGGTGCTGGCGAGGCAGTGCTCGCAGACGGCGTCGTGGCGGGCGAGGGTCGTGGTGCCGAGCCAGAGAACGGTGGGCGGGCGGACGGCGCCGTCGGGAGCCGAGTGGCTGTCCTCGCGGTTGGCCTCGGCGAGGATGGTCTGGGTCGAGCTGTCGATGAGGGAGACCATGGCGCGCTCGACGCCGAGGCGCAGGACGGCGAGCTGGGCAAAGGCCGCGAGGGCGCGGTCGGGGGACGGCTGGGGCGTGTAGCCGGTGCGCTGGAGGTTGGCGAGCCCGATGTTGTCGACGTTGAGCGCGACGTTGATGGCCGAGCCCTGGGCCGTCTGCCAGCTCTCGAGGCTCAGCCGCACCTCGCGCGAGCGGGCGGCGTCGCGGTCGCGGGGGGGCGCAGCCGCCATGACTGTTGTGTCGGGTCGGATCGTGTCGTGTCGTGTCGTGTCGTGCCGTGCCGTTATGAGTGAAGGCGGTGAGGCCGCGCAGTCAAAGAGGAGGGGGCACCCGAGCAGTGCTGGCAGCGTTCATGGTGAGCTGGAGTCCATTGCTGACGAGGAAGGCGCGGCCGGGCGATCGTTGGCCGCGGCGGGGGGGAAGAGACGGGACGAGACGAGACGAGACGAGACGAGACGAGACGAGGGAGGGGCAACGATCGCAGAGTTCCTGCAGCGTATCTATCACAACGATTGGCAAGACGGGAGTGGAAGAATCATGCTCCGGCTGGTCGAGCCTGCCGGGCAGAGGGACATTTGTGCAAGGGCCTGCGCGGCGTGGACGGGCCTGGGCCCTGGGCCGCGGGCGGCTGGGGAGCGGACGTGTTTCCGCCTTGCCACTCACATGGGACGGATGCGCCAGGGCATGACTGGGAGAGCCACATGCGCTGGACTGGCCACGCGAGAATGGGAGTCGCCGGTCAGGACTGTCGTGCGCACAGGGGTGGTGTCGAGAGGAGGCTGTCTGGTGCACGCAAGTCGCTCGGTGCTGTCGTCGACATCCAAGGATGGCTGCCCCTCGATCGCGAGCGGGACGAGGCGGCGCGCGAGGGGCAGCGCAGACAGCAGAACAGGGCGTGCATGCGTGCATACGTGGGTGTGGGCGCACATGGCCAGCACATGGCCAGCCAGACTAGCCAGGCCAGCCTATCGGGGACTTGCCGCCGCACCATGCCAAGCGCAGGATGCGGCCCCGCCGCGCTGACTAAAATTCCGAGACGTGTCGGTCACCATGACGTGGGCCGGTCGTGGCGCACGAGCCGGATCATTTTCCCCTGCGGGCACCAGGGCACCAGGGGCCCCAGACAGTGATTGGCCGGCGGGCAGGAGTGCGCGAAAGTGAGCGCTTCCCGGCCGGCAATGATGGTCAGAATAAGCGGCTGGTCGAACCGGTGCAGCTCTCGGATCCGACCAAGCCTCTCACGATAGCCTACGTCCGTGATGATCGTATGGCACTCGTCTATGAAGATCCGCCTAAGCAGCCGCCGCTTCCGTAGACTGTCGACATATGTCATAAACTCGTTGTTGCTTGCCTGGTCAGCGCTGACGACTACCAGATTTGCTAAGCGAGCTGGCGTGTTGGCGTCTCTCCCTTCGTCCTCTGCCGGTCTCCACTGTATACAGTTAATTCCCACGGAGCGTGCCCGGGCGATAATGTCGTCCATTAGTGCCACAAACGGTACGACAACGATGCTTACACCCCCGTGTACGGCCTGTACGGACGGGATCATAAACAACAGACTCTTTCCCGCGCCCGTGGGGAGCACAACAATAAGAGCTCGCCCGCCCCGTAGCTGTAGAACCTGCCGCATGGCCGTCTGTTGCTCGTCCATCCGCCAACGCGCTCCTTGCCCGATGATCGTGTTCAGCCCCTTCTGGATTCGGCTGTCGATTTCTTCCAGATTCGCGTCATGACGGGGCCAGACTGCCTCCGTTGGATGCCTTCTTCGCTTCCGGACTGTCGGGCTCTCCTCGTCCTGGTCGAATCGTAGCCGTTTCCGGCACCAGCTGTTCCCGCTCTGGCTGCCTTTTCCATGGTTCTGCTGCTGCCGCTGTCGCTGATGCTGACTATGACCCCGCCTGCTCCACGGCTCCGGCGTCCTCTTTAAAGCTTCCTCCTCCTCTGTGCCGGTCAAGCTGAGATACTCGTGCCATAGCCGGCTGATCTCCCGGTAGTTGGCGATCATCTCTGGCTGGAGCTGACCCGGGAACTGGATGTTGACGGCGTAGTGTGCTCTGGCGATTGCACTGCTATGTGTCGCCTGCAGATCCCAGATGAGTTCCGTGCGGGACTTGCCCTGCCGCTCCCCTGTGACCTCGTTGACCTCGTCTCCGTCCGAGCCATAGTCCCCGTCTACTGTCCCGATCTTGAGTTGCTGCTGCTGTACGACTAGCCCTCGGATCGTCCGGCCCAACTCGATCGCGACATGTCGGTACCCTGCCATCCCGATTTCGACTCCGATGTGCGTGCCTACTGCTGCCCGAAGCTCCTTGCTGAGCTCTGTCGTCCCCCAGCGCCCCTTCCGCCCGTCCTTCCACAGCCACTCGCCCAGACTTTCGGACGGAAGTCGACCTCTCGTATGCGTAAGAAGCATTGTCTCGAACGGCATGAGCCAAGCGATGAAGACTACGAGCAGTCTGCCTACCCGGTCGGGAAGAAAACGGGCAATTTTGCGGCCGTAGCCGCGGATCGCCTTGGCCTTGTCCCGGTCGGTGATAAGCATTACCTGCCCGTCGTGAACGTACACACTCCGGGGGAGCTGCTTCGTATCACAATGCCGAACGCTTGTGATCTCCGGTCCTCGCCCGGGCTGCCCACCCCATATATGAGTAGCTAGCATAAGCTTGCCTTTCAGCTCAGCCAGCCATCCGAGCCACTGTCGCGACTTCTCCTGGTGGTACTGTGTCCTCTGTTGCGACCATAGTTCCGCCTTGACCAGTATTGCGACTACCCGGGGCCCTGCCTGCAGCCATGCGTTCCTGGGATTCGTGGCGAACGAGCTGTTATGACCCTCGAACATCATGCTGTCGTAGATCTTTGTGAGCTCGACCTGGCCGAGTAGTGCCCCTCCCCCGCCATAAACCAGCTCATCTAAGCCGGTCTCGAGCTCGGAGACTAGTTTTTGCGCCATGTCGCGGAATTCCTGGACCTCGATGCGCTGACGGAGATAGCTGAGTTATCTGTTATTACTACCTTACTCTATGTTCATCCTATCAACTACTATACATCTTTACTGGGCAATTGCTACACGGGCATGAAGAATTGCTACCCGGGCATGACTCTTACACGGGCATGACCTTTTGCAGCCTCTGATTGGTCCATCCCTTTTTGTTAGTGCATCTAGATTCTGCCAACGCTTCCCTTGTACCTCGGGATTAGTTCTCCATCACGACGATCGACGAGACATATGGAAGCTATTCACTAGCTAGCTACTACACCAATTACCTCTTGTCGCATGTCAAGCCTACTGATAATGATTGTTCGTGAAAGATACCATATTTGTCAAGGTCCCAGGGCTCCAGGCGTGGTGTGTTAGGCCCCCTGCTGAGACCTACACTCAAACACACGCTGTATCAGGAATATCCAATAGCCTCATCTTCCAAGGCATCTGCATCACAAAGCAGGTCATTCCTTTGTGCTGAAATTGGTCCCCTCTTTCCTTCTTTCATAGTCAAATCAACTGCCCCTTTAACCATGTTCTCATCCGTGCGTGCGACACTCTTCCTGTCGCGATCACGGCCGTCATTATGTCCCAGCCCGACTCTCGATCTAGCTCAGCAAGCAACCAACGACTACGAAGCTATCAATTACGTCCTCGAAAACGACAGCGGCAGAACCAATCTGAGAGTTCAAGACCACCTTCGTCTAATAGCACAGGGACGAGCATTGGCCCACACTTTGGCGTGGGAGACGACGAGGCACTCTATAATGCTTTCGCCTCGTACCCAGAGACCTTCACGACCGCTCCACGCCCCCATGGATCGCGTGGGCTGAACGAGCCACCATGGGAGCTGCGATTCGATCATGAGATTCACCTATCGAATGATTTCCCAACCCGAGGAAGACGGTCGCAACGAGTAACAATGCCTATACCAGGCCCGGAAATCGACCAGTCACCTGCCTGCTCTCCACAACAATCAGCACAAGAACAATTCTCTCCAACAAGACCCCAGTTTCAGTCCGCCCTTAGGCTAGTGCGCGAGGTGATTGGGACAGATCGAAGACTTACCATCGAGCTCGTCCGGTCATACGAACGAGTCCGCCAATGGCGCGAGATATGGGGCTACTCGCCGCTCAGTTCAACTGCATTCGAATCATCTCCGCCATACTCGCCTCCCCGAGAAAGGCACTCTCCGCCTATCGCCTCGCCGCCCTCGCCCGACCACCCCTTGTCGCCTGTCCCTGACCCGATCCCGAACCCACCTATCCCAGGCGACCCAGCGCCCTCAGCCGAAGTCCCGTTCGAGTGGGTGAATACTTTCGCGAAGGCTAATGGCTTCGGTATTGTTCGACGAAATGCCTACTCATATAAGGGTCGGAAGATCCGGTACTCTTTCCAATGCGATCGATTCGGAGAACCACGCCCCTCAGAGAGTACCGGTATTCGGCAACGGAAGTCTCGAAAGTGTGGTTGTAAATGGATGGTCATTGCCGAAGCACTGGAGGAGGGTAGATGGCTTCTACGACACCACGATAATTCCGAGCATAGCCAGCATAACCACCGGGCCAGTATCAAACCATCCGCCCATCTCTCCCACAGACGACTCACTACACCTATCAGGGCAACAGTCGAATCGACAAGCCGTCGGGTCGGAATTCGGGCCCGTGACGTACGCGCGATCGTCCTGGAGCAGCATCCCGAGTCATCCTTTACACGAAAGGATATCTATAACGCCAGGTCTCGTATCAGTCGAGACAAGTTGAGCGGCCACACTCCTACTGCAGCACTGATCAAGCTGTTCGACGAGATGGAGATTCCCTATCTTGTTAAGTGGGCGGATGATGAGCCAAACCGCCTCGTCGGTCTTGTCTGGACCTTTCCGTACTGCCTCCAGATGTGGAAGCGGTTTCCTGAGGTCATCAGCTTCTACAACACAGTAATATCGACGTGTTGACACTGTCAATTCGTTGGATTACACGGCTGTCGGCGATTAATTTGATGTTGATGTTCAATCATGACAAATTGTCTCAAGATTCTTCTTCGCAACATCAAAGAGAGCCATACGCCTGTCAGCATCAAATGGCTTCTATGTCTTGTCGCTATCACCATAATCGGGCTCCTCTATCTCCGCCCTCGGCCTGGTCCACTTCCAAGAGAAGCGACCGGTGCTATTGAGGAGAATCAAGAGTGACATCTCCTTGGGGCTAGCGGACCATCGATGCAATGTTCCATTCTCTCCAAAACCTCCTGTTCAGTATGCAAATCAGCTGCTCCCATCGATCGATATCTTGAGGCGTTTTAGCAAGCGTTTGATAATTAAGGCTTGCGAGTCCTACGAGTGAGCCCTACCTCCACGTCCTTCATATCTTCAGCCGCGAAGCCAAGCAATCCTAGGGGCTGCCGCTGTCTATAAAGATGGTAGACGCCAGTCCCACGCCTTGACGGTTGAATATGCGGCCGTCAAGTCGCTATTAAGCCGTCAGAAACGGGCCTGCCCAGCTTAAGTAACATCGGGACATCTACATCCTGATCTCCGACATGGGACACACCTGCGGCATTGCTCGACTTAGAGCTTAGCATGGGTGGAGATCAGGTTTTGCGATATAAAAGGGTAACCACTCGCTGTCTGGCACCCTGTATTTGAAAAAAGTACCAATGATGGATTCCGCGGCCTGGGGTACCGCGACCATACTTGATGCTCCTGCCCCCACGAGGACATCACCATCAATGAATGCAGGAGAACCGCGTCCTTCATTACTAGCTTCTGCTGTTACGTGCGTGCTGAGGTCATAGACCTGCCGTGAGGTTGATCGATCAGGGACCGACTCGTTCCACTCTATGGGTTGGGTGTGATCACGGGATTGATTAAGACTTCCAGCGCTGTCGCGTTCCTGTTAACATCCATCCCTGCATCGCGAGCCACCCTGAGTGCCGAGCCAAAATACAGGTACTTTACCTTTGACATAGACTCGAGTCCGCCCATACACATGCAATTCCTCAAACTTGTTCGGAAGTTATAAATTGACCACATCCAAGCCATCTGATCCCTCTCAACCATAAATTTTGATGAGTGTCGGATCTCGAGCCCGTGATCCGAACCTACCGATATCTCGAAGCATTTAAAGACATAGTCAATAACAACCCACTACCATCTCCTTATCGCCTGTCACAGTCATAACTAGACATCAATCGAGTCTCTAATTCGGATTTTCACTACGAAAAGCGATCCGCAGGTCCAAGGCTGTTGTGGGACGGTGATATTAATAAAGTCAACAAGTCGATCGGTACCTTTCTAGTAGAGGGTCCGCCGGTTTCGGCTAGCGTCAGACTTCAAGTTACGTGGGGCATGTACTGCTCGTACTGCCTGTGGCTGGTACAGTAGTCGCTATTTATAACTACTCGGTGGGAGAAGGAAAGGTCATTCGTGAACGTCCAGAAATCAAATGATTTAATTAACAACTAGCAATATTGACTGCGCATGTTGACTGCATTACCTCATTGCAGCCATTTTTTCACTCAAAGATGCATAATGACCCTCGCAATCTAACGTAGTAGGATGAGTTGGCCCTACCACTTTCCTGAATCCATTCGAGGCGGTAACAAAAGCTCGCCAGCCTCATCGAGTCGATTTTGCATATGGTAGAGGTAAGCGAGGCGGCAGATGCTCGTGAGTGTGTCTGGATGGTGCTTGCCCAGCGCCTTCTCATAACCATCAAGTGCCCATCGGTTCATCGCCCCCGCCTCTTCGTACTTGCCCTGGTGCTGATGGTCATTCGAGGGCGCTTTCGTTTCTCGCGCAGTCTTCGAATGGTACGGGCAAAGCAACCGACCGACTCGGCAATCTCAGGATCTGGCAAGTGTCGGCGAAGCATGGCATCGATCTGGTTATGCTTGGACAGGCTTAGTCGTGGCGCCATAGTCGTCGTGGCAGTCACGAACAATGCAGTAGTGAGGACAAAAGTTGCAAGCTGTCACCTTGCGAGGACGAGGTCTGGCACGATTTGCGCCACAATCTGCGCCACAATCTACGCCACGATTACAATTGAACTGAATTCCCTCTGAACGGCGCGCAGGCAGAGCGCAGTGCAGCCCTGTCTGAAAGCGTGCTGGTCTCTTGGCTTTACCCCGCTTCGTCACCACTGAAGACAACCATTGATCGGTCCAAGTTCCACGATGGGTCATGCGTCTCCCCAAAAGCGTTTGGGGACCAGCAGCATTGCTGCTGTCATCAGCACAGTGTCTCTGCACACAAATATGGATCGACTTCGAGCGGTTTTTCTACCTCACCAACTCAAAGCCCCATGAAGAGCATGTCAATCTATGCCATGTCTACGATCATCTTTCTCGCACACCATACAAAGGCCGCTTCGGCATCCAAAGTGAAGATGTAGACGTCTATGTTATAAATGCTTGGTATATTATAACAGCCTTTCCGAGAAAAAAAACTTCTTAATTGGAGCAATTGAGCTCCTCAAGTTATATCTTTCTACAACAACCTGCAAGCCAATCAGAACCTTACTTGATGGTCCAAACATATCCAAAACCGGCTGGTCAGTTTATTACAGCACCAGCGTACGATCTCGATTGGGTACAGCGCGTTGTTCTCCTTTCATCGGAATCATCTAGTGAACGAGCACTACGCCAGCACTAGCAGAGTAAAGCATTCCAAGCTATTTATAGGCGATGCCAGCGAAACTTTTCTTCCTCGAGGCCTTGAGGCAACGCATATCGGTCTCAAGCGTTCAGAGGACAGTAAAGCCAGACAGCATCGATACTAAGCCGATGAGTACGAACCACCCCATGGGGATCAGTGACGAAGCTATCCCAGTTGCCGCGGTGGTAGTTGGCGTCTCGGCGTGGCCACCGTGATCGTCGTGACCATCATTAACTGTCTCTGTTGGCTCGTGCTGAACCAGCGATTGCAACTCGGGATCGTTTACAAAGCCACCCGTCACCGCTGTGCCATTAATACAAGCAGGATTGACGGGGGCGGTTCCCTTGACAAAACGAACTGCAGCGCACTGTCACCAAAAATTTTGTCAGCTCGTCATGATCCAGGCTCGGATGGCGGTGGACGACGTGACGCGCAGCGCGCGCTATGGACTACTTAGACGAACCTGATAGAGGTAGCCGTGACTCGTGCCGGACACGATGCTGAGAACGCCCCTTTTATCGACAAACTCATCAGGCGCCACTACTCGGGATAGGCAGAAGTCACCAGCGCCCGTTTGTTGGACGATGGCGTTGATCTGCGTCCAGTTGCCAGAGGCCGTCTCGTCGAGCGTGATGCGATAGAGCCAATTGTCGGTTGCGTGAGTCGTTTTGGTTCCAACGGCAGTGCCGCTGACGAAGAAGTCGTTTAGGACATGAGTGTCGTAGTCGGGCACGAAGCCACCGCAAGGACATCGGCCTGGAGTTCGTCTAAAAAGCCAACAGTGTCGAGAGTCGTCAAGATGAAGTGGGCATGGGCGTGACGCGCAATCAGAAGAGCAAAGGCCCCCAAAGCAGAGAAGCTGTTCATGATAGGTTATTAGAACTGTAGATCGCAGAAATGCGCAGACAGATGTGTCTGAATGTCACGAAGCACAGGCCAGGGCTGCTGCGAACCAGACCTTTATACATCCCTTAATGCGCGATAGCTGATCCGCATAGAAGCGGGCAGACCAGATATTAGACTGGGCTGTCCACGGCGCGACAACTAGATGCGTACAATCCGAGCAGGTTTGCGGCAGTTTCTGATAAGAGGCTCGGAGAGGTGCTAGCCTTGGCGGGCAAGGTTGCGTGCCAGACTGTTGGTCTTTCCATGTGGCCACCAATCGCGGCGGATACAGCGCCCGCAGGATGAGGCAGTTTGCGGCCGTTTCACGACGAATGGTTCGGAAGAGGGGTTAGACTTGGCAGGCACAGGCCGGTGGGCACACTGCGAAGCGTGTGTACTGTACTGTCGGCGCAGGACCTGTTCGGCAGCCCCCACACAGGCTCACCGCCCCGGCACCACCCGCTAGCGTTGCTTGTCTTGGGGGCCCTACACATGGTGGACATGGCCGATTTTGTCCACTCCTTCCGTCCTTTGCTCCTCCACAGAGTTTTTCCTGCTCCTCGGCTGCACGGGACAGCACGCATCCATTCTCAATCCTCCCGACCACTCGGACGATCAAGGCGGCGCATGCCAGACCCAGCTTGCCACCCTTCCTTCTGCTGTGCTCTGGACTGTGGCGAGCCCTGTCCAAGGTGGTCGACACCTGCTATCGATAATGGAGCCTCCAATTGCTATGGAATCCACGAGCGGCAACTGCATCCAGACACCATCACGGCCGCTCCGGGGCCTCGAGATACGACTCTACGTTTCGCATTTCTTGACGACATGGAACTCCCGCCTCTTCGAGTTTGCAGCGGTCCTCTTCCTCGCCTCGACCTTCCCGCAGACTCTGCTCCCCATGTCCGTCTACGCCCTGGCCCGCAGCGCTGCCACAGTCATCTTCGCGCAAGCTCTTGGCACCGCAATCGACAAGATGAACCGCCTTGCCGTCGTTCAGACCTCCATCATCGGCCAACGTCTCGCTACAGCAGCTAGTTGCGGCGTCTTTTGGGCGCTTGAACAGCAAGGCGCACAGATGCAGAGCCACCTCAAAAGCGGACTGTTCGGCTTGGTCGTCGCCCTTGCCTGTGCAGAGAAACTGTGCTCAGTATTGAATCTAGTTTCAATCGAGAGAGACTGGGTGAGGCTTCGGTCAAAGCTCAACGAGACACTTTGTTGCTTACCGCTAATTACCAACAGGTCGTTGTCATAACCGAGGGTAACGAGGAAGCTCGCCGAGGTATGTGCTTACCCGCCACTTTTTCGATTGCCTAAACCAGACCTTTGACCAAACGCAACAGTCATAAATGCTCGGATCCGTCGCATTGACCTCTTTTGCAAGCTGGTTGGTCCGCTCAGCATCTCATTCGTCATGATCTCATCGACCATGACCGCCATTTGGACGACACTGGCGATGAACGTCTGTTCAGTGATCATTGAATGCGTATGCATATCGAGGGTTAGTGACTCTTGCGTCTCGTTTCTATATGCTAGCTGACACATTCCAGGTATATCAGGCCGTTCCCTCCTTATGGCGGCAAACGACAGCAGTGGAGCTGCCGGAGAACCAGACTAGTCGACGACACGAATCTGGCTTGGTCTTGTCGCGACTACGAGTTATAGCACATCAAGTCATCCCAGTGACCTCGCTCCCTTTCTACTTCCGACATCCCGCTTTCCTACCGTCCTTTGCGCTCTCTCTACTCTACTTCACCGTCCTCTCCTTCACTGGCCAAATGATCACGTACCTCATTTCCGTTGGATATAGCTCAGTCCACATCGGCGTAGCTCGCGCGGTCAGCACTGTGTTCGAGCTTACCGCTACGTGGATTGCACCCCGAATGATGAATAGGATCGGGATCATCCGTGGCGGCATCTGGAGCCTGTCCTGGCAAATGCTCTGGCTCGCCGCCGCAATGAGCTTGTTCTTCGTCGATTTTCAGGGCCAAGGCACGGGCAGTCTCTTTTCTGCAACCGGACTTGCTGTGGGCGTTGCACTCAGCCGCGTCGGGCTCTGGGGGTATGACCTCTGTGCTCAGAATATCATACAAGATGTAAGCTCGGCAAGCCCCAGCTAGTATCGTTGAGGGACGCAAGTCGAGATTGATTTTAAGCTAATAAATTGTGCATTTGCAGGAAGTTGAAAGCGAGTATCGCGGCGTCTTCTCCACGGTAGAAGTGTCGTTCCAGAACTTATTCGAGATGTTATCGTATGCGACGACAATCATTTTTTCTAGACCGGATCAGTTTCGGTGGCCTGTTGTCATCAGTGTCATCTCAGTGTACACTGCTGGGGGACTTTACGCAGCGTTTGTCCGTAAGAGACGTGGGCATCTCTTTCATGCTCCTCCATGTATGCCGAAGGGGGAGGTTGCACCATTACAAGCGACGATACCATGAGCATGGCCAAACTACACATTGCGCAAAGCTTTACCGTTGGCCGCGATTGGTCTCTAGGGCTGTTAAACCCCCCAGAACGATGGACTGTACTGTTTGATGAGCTATTCGCCGACGAAGCGAAGAGAATACTTTGGTGCAAACCAAGCGGCACCGAGGCAAATCTACTCATTTATGTAACCTTTGTTCTCCATCGATTCTTAGTAGAACTGTCTGGATTCCTGGTTGCGCCGTTGGGATTCCCGTGACCCAGAATGTGCTCGCCATAACTTCAGCGTATGGATCACTGTTTTCCAATTGATCCTGTGACATATCAATCGTTCAGGCATAGCTACTCCACCGCATAGGCAGTCATACATCTATTAAGAAGCTAATGCAGCGTATAGGCGTGGTACAAACGTGGATGACGAAGCGGGCGCGGTCTCCATGTATGGCAGGTTGTATCTTTGTTCGAGACCAAGACAAGAATCATAAATAAGCTGCAATCATAATGTATATGCAAACCGACGGAGACTGGTCTTTTTAAACTGAGTTATATAATACTCTTAAGGCGACGAAGAAACTGCCCTTTATCAGTAGTAACAGTTACATGTGATGCTGTAATCCACTTTTGGAGGGGTGCTTATTATGTGACAGTCTGCAGGGTATGCGCCACAATGCGCCACAGCATATTAGTCCGTGCGGAAATGTTCTATTAAACAAAAAGCGGACGCATTTTGTGGCCACTGGTGTACCAGCCACAGGCAGTACGAGCAGTACATGCCCCACGTAACTTGAAGTCTGACGCTAGCCGAAACCGGCGGACCCTCTACTAGAAAGGTACCGATCGACTTGTTGACTTTATTAATATCACCGTCCCACAACAGCCTTGGACCTGCGGATCGCTTTTCGTAGTGAAAATCCGAATTAGAGACTCGATTGATGTCTAGTTATGACTGTGACAGGCGATAAGGAGATGGTAGTGGGTTGTTATTGACTATGTCTTTAAATGCTTCGAGATATCGGTAGGTTCGGATCACGGGCTCGAGATCCGACACTCATCAAAATTTATGGTTGAGAGGGATCAGATGGCTTGGATGTGGTCAATTTATAACTTCCGAACAAGTTTGAGGAATTGCATGTGTATGGGCGGACTCGAGTCTATGTCAAAGGTAAAGTACCTGTATTTTGGCTCGGCACTCAGGGTGGCTCGCGATGCAGGGATGGACGTTAGACGGCTTGTGTAGTCTTGGTCGCGTATTCCCTTCGTGACTCTCGGACAGGTCATGCACGTGGGGTAAAACAACGACGTGCAGATTAGATAAGCAGTAATCGATAAGGGTCCATATCAGGAAACAGGCACCGATTGATGGTTCCCAATGTTAGGTGCGAAGCAACTGACAGCCAGTCAGGGATCGAGCGACCACCAGGACATTTCTATGAAAACCTGGCATGGAGGAAAGGTGCAATTTGCTATGGAGGTTCCTAAGCCAGATAGTCGTGACTTTTCATCAGACTCAATCTAGGGTTCTAATCGTACACTTGACCCAGTCACTGAATTGCACCGGAGCGGTATCTTCTGTGAAAGCCACGACACCCGATCGAGAGAGTACTACATGTACGGAGGCAATATTCCTTAGGGCGTTGTACCTATCACATCTTCAACCCGTAACCACCCGGTTAATTTGGTTGACTCAGGACGCCGGATTGGGACGCTACGTGGACGACCTCCAGCGACTGTGCGGGTGGCTTCACTACTTACCGAATCAGGAAGGAAGGACAACTTATGCCCCGTGCTTGAACGAAGAGAAAGCTGAGGGGTTAGTCGCACTGCCACAGCTTGCCCGGCGACGCCACTTTGGGTGCGATGAATAAAATTGCCTTCCTAGGTCTAAGTGTGGCTCGACGACCTCAGAAAACTTAAACCGTAGCCTTAGCTTCGTTCTACTAGAGAGTTGGGAATGTGAACCCCAGAGGGGGGCAGCTGCGAGATGTGTGAGGTAGGGTCGACGGACGGCGAAGGGCAACTCATTTTTGTCGGTGATCATTCCTTCCTTGTTAGGCATAGGCCCCACTTCTGACAGAACCCCGCCTGGGAATCTGAAACGCCAATAAGGCATACGACCTCGTCCTCGACTGCGCTCCGACCTGGTCCCGTGACTTGCATGACGTTATAGCTGATGTTCTTCTTGTCGGTCCTTGCTCGGATGATTTCGGCGTCCCCTGCAAGCATTATCTGGCGGAACCACGCCTCAAGCCGCACCGGTAGTGTAGCTGTCAGTAAGATGACCGGACAGCCGTACCGGTAGATACACTTCAGCTCCATAAGCCGCTTTCGATAGCTAGCGTCCATAATAATCGTATGGCACTCGTCGACAAGAACCGCTTGAGCAGACCCCGGCTTCGCAGCCAGTCCGTATAAGTCGAGAACTCTGTGCTATTGACCTGATCTGCACTGACGAAGACGAGCCGTGACACCCGCGGCTTCTCCTCTCGCCCGGTTGCCTGTGCTGGCTGCCACTGCTGAGAGTCTAGCCCGAGACCAGCTGCACGTCTGACCAGATCGCTAATTAGTGCCACAAATGGTACTATGACGATGCTGATGCCTGCGTTCACGCCGCTCATGTATGCTGTCAACGAAGGGCATACAAAGGCGGTGCGGCTACTAATAGAAAGAGGTGCTGATATCAACTTTCGTGGTAACGTGGGAACACCATTAGCTTGTGCCTCTGAAAACGGATTCGCAGATCTTGTGCAGCTACTGCTTCACAAGGGCGCCGAGGTAGATTACCCGGATCGGGCCGGCCGGACGCCACTCTCATGGGCGTCTAGCAATCCGCACGACGAGGTAGTGCTGCTACTGCTCAACAACGGCGCTGAGGTTGATCGTGCAGATGAGACCGGTCGGACACCGATCTCATGGGCTGCCGGCATGGGATGCGAGCGGAATGTGATGCTGCTGCTCGATAGAGACGCCAGAATTGACGAAAGAGACTCCTTTGGTCGGACACCGCTCGCATGGGCTGTCTACAACAGGGCCAAAGCCGTCGTGCGGCTGCTGCTAGACAGTGGCGCAGAGCCCGACAGTAAAGACATTCATGGTCGGACGCCGATATCATTAGCTGCCGAAAAGGGATACATCAGCATTATAGATCTGCTGCTAGCGAGAGGCGTTCAGGTGGATAGCCGAGATATTGATGGAAGACTCCATTGTCATGGGCGACATCTTGGGGGCGTGACGACGTTATGCAGAAACTGCTAGATAGCGGCGCCGACATTGATAACCGCGACGAGGATGGTCGTACGCTAATAGACTTGGCCAGGATAAGTAGAAAAAGCAGCACAGCTTCGCATTGCGGCTTAGCTCCGTGCGGCACGTATAAGCCCGATTGATTGAATATAGTAGGAAAGCTATGGAGACGAATAAAGAATTGATAATAACCAGCAAGACGAGATGTTGAAAGTACGTCTTTATCCGGGCCGCTGTCGCTTCGCGCGGCGTCCAGGTAAGCCCACCTCACTTCCTTCTGTCCCAAGAGTCTCTAACAGCTCGGGGTATTGCTGCCAACATCGAGGCTGTGTACACGAATGGCCAATAGCTTCGCCCCATTGTTCTTGAACGTTAGTAGAGTTCCCCTCTGAAAAGCTTGACGCATTCCACAATCGTGTGACTTCATTAATGAAAAATCGCCCATCGGTTGCGACTTCTGAGATGCCAATGTCGAGACGTACGCCATCCTTAAGTGAGGCAAGACCAGGTTCAAGATCGGCAAGCCTAAAAAGAATGGCAAACCACAGAGAGGCGAACTGCTTCAGTTCATGATACTTGCGCTTTTGAGCGTGCTCATCCCCAACTCCTTCCCCAAATATTTCGTGACTGAATGGACTCTGATTCATATCCGAGAATTGAACCTTGCCGGCAGAAGTGGTTGGTCTGGTGATGGTGATACTAATGATCTTACCTGGGGGAATGAGACCGTCTATAGCCTCTTGAGATAGATCACGCACCATACAGACCCGAAGTTCGCCAAATTTGACTAATGAGTCGACATACTCTTGGTGGAAGAGATGGTTCCTAGGCTGAATATCGGCATCCCATTTGTTCCCAGGGATTCGGCACTTCAGTCCCTTGCGATTGCTGACTTTAACAAGCTTGACTCCCTCTCCACTGCTGCTATGTGTCGGCTTGATAACCATGCGGCCACCATGAGAGGGTGGCAGGTTACACGTCGCCGATAGCCCACCATCGCACGTTATGGGTCGGTATGCGAGCCAGCTCATTCCTTGGCCGTCGAATTTTGCGGCCCACTCGTCGAGGATTCTAAGATCGCCAACTTTGCTTGCCTGGAATGTTGCCTCCTCCGTGGTAGGATATGCTTTAATAAAAGCATTGTTGTCCATAAACAGTTTCATATATTCGCAATATTCATCGAAAGAGGGCCCTTCCGGCACCAGGATGGGCGTTGACATGCATCCGAGAAGAACGAGCTTCTTCCTCTCAGATGTGGCATCGGCAAGCTGTTCGCGAAGGTCTCGGAACAAGTCTGCACTCCATGTTAAAGTCGCCGACATCGTAAGGCATGGGTTCTTGATGGTTGCCGAGATCGCCATGATCAACGGCTCATAGACCCATACGGTCTCGTCATCGTCATGTTCTTGGTCGTTGAAATGCGGCTCGACATTTACTAGATCGAGAGCAGACGACTTTAGCCTCTTCCCCTCCTGAGACATCGGAACACCTAATGGTATAGCGGAGTCAGATCGACCCTCCTCAACCAGGGGGCCAAATGGGACTCCGAGCCAGATCATATCGACTGGAAGCGGTTTTGGCTCCGGACGAGCGGTAAGCTGGTGGTTGTGGCTGATCGTGGTTGAAAATTGTATGCGGACCACCTCGAGCGAATCTAAGAGCGGAGGAAACTTGTCGACCACTCGTTGTGCGCTCCACGCAACGGGACATTGTTTATATCCGCAGACATAGAATCGGGTCCTCTCCCTCTTCTCCTTCGTCCTGGCCTTGTATCCATGTCGGCTGACAAACACTGACACGATCCGTTCTAAATCTTCGAATGAAGGAAATGTCCAACCGCATGGTGGGGCGCCGTCACTTTTATAGTCGATCTTAGCCCGGCCCAGGGCAAAATACTTCATAGCCTCCATAGGCAGTGATACACGGAGAATGAAGACGCAAAGATGATTGAGAGACGTCGCTTTGGCCAAAAGGGGGTTCGCGAAATGCGGGGCGCTGGGGAAGTTTTCCACGTGCGTGGAAGCTTTTCCACGGGCGTGGAAATTTCTCCACAGGCGTGGAAGCTTTTCCACAGGCGTGGAAGCTTTTCCACGGGCGTGGAAATTTTTCCACAGCCGTGCCTAAAGTCGCGTGAGTAGCGGTCCCAACCACCCCAACACCGCATTTAAGATTACTGTACTACAAACAAACCGCTCCAGCTGGGCGAGACGAAGGGTGGAGTCAGATGCTGGGGTCTAGCCGACTGAACGTAAACAAACAATTGGCTTGGCGTCCGTTCCCTTTCTAACGGGATCAACGGGGACCTGGGCCAGATACGTAATAGCACCGCGAAAAATGGCAGACAGGTTCGAAAAACCTTAGAAATAAAGACGTGCCATCATGATCATCATCCTTCCGATTGGGCTTGGCATAATCGTGCACGATGCGTGCTGCGCGATGGCCTATCAAAGACCTGACGAATGTTAAGCCGCGTTGCCCCACCCCACTTGCCACTTTAGGGAGGAGCAGCTGGCAGGACATGGTGGATGTTGTACACATGCGACAGAGCCGCCCCCGCCCCAGTGCTGAAACAGGACTCCACCACAACAGCGGTGAGCTCCCTCGGTATTCGGTCACGGGGCATCCCACAAGCTCAGCACGTCGGACTGGCTGGGCTTGTGGGCCGTCGTCTTCGGCCCAAAAGAAAAACAAAAAAACAATTATCTACGGCTTGTTCGGGGTGGGACATCGGCCACAGCGCACCAGGCGGAACGCCGCTCCGCGTCCCTGCTGCAGGAGAGGACGTGGTTCGACGCGGACTTAAACTTGCATGAACAGAGGGGCAACAATATGTAGGAAGTTGTATTACATACCAAGTGGGAAGAGCGCCTGGTAGCGGCTTACTCCTTGCCGCCAGATGGTAGGGGAGGCAATTAGCTACGCTTCGTCTCGCTAGATCAGGTCACACATATTGCTGGCTGAGACAAGCAAGGTTCGGGCAAATTCTTGACAGGAAGTGTAACTAAACGAGAGATACATTGACCAGCTTTATGTAGATACAAATGTCGATTCGCCTACGAATGGCCCGCACCTACACTGCCAGACACTATGTCTCACCTTCCCAGACCGCGGCGAGGAGGTTTCGTAGGGCAAGAAATCTATGGGTACCCTTGACATTGTTTTACGAACGTCCTTCCCATACACATAAGACATTCTTGTAGAGAGTATGAGCCGGGAATCACCGCACCCCGCAACTCACTTGCGACATTACAGAAGGTCCGCTATCCACTTGATTTCTTCGTAATGGTGACCAGGAAGGGAATCGAGCGGCTCCGCCCAGGGGATTCCGAACCGACGACGCCACGTTGCAGAGACTGCCGCAGCCACCATCTGGCTCGCAGAGCAAGAGAAGAAAGACGGCTCCACCAGTGCAGCCCGGAGGACACGCAAGACTTCGAAGCGTATGTATTGCTCCAAGGGGGTACGCGAATCGGGAGGATACACAAAGTCGAGGAAGTGGATTGGGGTTGAGCCGTTGACGCAGTGGCCAATGCGGTGCAGGATGCTCGCCCGTGTGCTGAAAATGCTGTCCATGGAGAGCTGGCGATCTGTATCCATGACTGCGGTCTCCAGCATCGCCTCAACGATGGCTCTGTGGACTGCAGTGAGGCCGAGTGCCATGTCAAGACATGCGCTGCCGACCTTGGCGTAGAGCACCTCCCTGGTCGGCTCAAAAATGGCCCATTTTTCAGGTTTGAGGATGGCACGGAGAGCAATGTTGACTGCGGCGAAGACGACTTTGTGCTCGAAGCGGAAGCGCTCGTCGAGCGACAAGATGTAGTGGATAACGCCTTCACAGAGCTCTTGCAAGAGATCCTTGGTATCTGTATCCCAGTCCTCCTAGGCTGCCGGGACGCAGAGCTGGTTCTCGTGCATCGCTGCGTTGATCATGAGACCTGCGGACGCGCCGATTAGACCTTGCGCTTTTGCTTGGTGTCAATCATTCAGGTGACGGGTGTGACGGCTGCAATCGGCGGACACGGCGGTGGTAGCGGCGTTCATCGTCGACCGGCCGAAGGACCAGAGCTTCTCCATAATCGGGTCCATCACGCTGCCTGCTGTGTCTGATAATGATGAGGTCCGCTCCAGGGACTGGGTGGGGGATCTTGTGCTGAAGAGTCTAGCCGTGGATGGCCGCACCAATAAAGGTACAGTGGTGGTGGCAAGGCGCGTGGTGGTGGACGCAGAGTGCTGCGACGCTCTCCGCACAGGATATTGTGCGTGATGTGATTATCAGGTGTCTTCTCGCCGTTTCGTGTTAGGACAGCAGGCGCGTGCCCAGATATCGCGCTACGGGATTAGGCTCACAGGATTGACAGTACAGTGCACTTGATGGCGTCTCTAGTGATTGGCCTCCGACAGGTGTGTTCTTTTTCAGCACTGACAGCTGCTTTCTTTGTCAAGAAAATACAAAGGCGACTCATCTCTTTCAACGCCATCAATCGCAATACATGCAGGCTAGCTGAGCGCGATGCGAACAAACCGGGGTTGCCAACTGCATTCCGCCCTTCCAGTGACTGGACCTTTCATCCCCAGGAAACATCGACCCCACCATAACGCCGTCCGACCCCGCATTCAGCTATTAAAATAGCGCTCAAGGTTCGCCTCGCGTTCCCAACTTCTTACACATGCCACTCACGCTGATCATGTGCATGGCCACTCACGCTTTCAAAATTGAACCAGTATCTGCGCTGTGATACAATAAGAATCATTCCTCCAACATGGAAGGATCCATCATCGACTTTGATCCTGACGGAGACCTTATTTTGACTCTGCGCAATCCTGATGCTCCATTCGCTGTCTGGCCAGAAGACGGAGACTGCCACCTCGATCTTCAGCAAAGTTTTGCTCCATATTACGGTACACTTGGTGATCGTAACTCTTCACTGACTACTTTCCTATCTTTTCGATGACTTCAGTAAGTTTTCTGTCCATACGCACCTACTCTGGCTTTCGCGGTCACGCCATAAAACTCGCATTATGGAAGTGTGTAGAGTAGAATATATAACAAGAAGTAATGTAGATGTGCGCATACGAAACGTAGTCCCGTGTTTATTCGCTACCTGCTCAACGCAACGTCTGCTCCGAACACCGCCACTGATTCGTTTTCGTCTAGAACGGCCGCCCGAATTCAAAACCTGGCGGCGGCTTGCCGCCCTCAAAGTGTAGCTCCGATGCATGACCCTGCGAGTCGATAAAGATGTGCCGCGTGGGCAGCACCTTGAGGTCCAGGACCGGCTGGATGCGGTAGTGCTCGTCGTAGTGATGGATGTCGCGCGTGATCTCCTGGACAATCTCGTGCACATTGTTTTGCACACGCTCGTGCACGGCAGCTGAATGAACACGTCAGTAAACAGGAATGGGGTGGGAAATGGATGTGGAGCTTGAGTCAACGCGGCCAAACAATGATTGTCGCATGGCTGTACAAGCAGGGTGACACTTACGCTCAGCGTTGACCACTGTCTTGTCCACGGTGTCCGGTGGTGTAGTCTCTAGGAAGGCGTACTTGTTCGCCCCCTCGTCCGTTGCGGCGGGCGTAATTGGCATGCTTCCAGGCACGACAGTTCTGTTCGGAGTCCCTGCCTCGACGCCGACTTCATCAGAGTCCCATGTCTGTTGGTCCCTCGGCTTCTCGAGCTGCAGCTGCCCAAGCTGTTGATCAAGATCGGCCACGCTTGCGATACAGTTGCTCTGTTGCCCGTACATTTGGCGGTCGGCACCATTGTCGGGCATCGACTTTGCTACGCCGACAGGTTCGTGGCTCATGACCATGAGCTCCTGCCGGAGCATGAGGGGCTGATCATTGTGTGGCGGGAGGTTGAGGAACGGCGCCTCGCTCTCTAACTTCGTCGTTGTCGGAGGCGATGGGAACGCCTTCGCGGCAGCTGCCACATCGTACGTCGAGGACGCATGCTCGCGGTAGTGTCGCCCATCACGCTCGGGCTGGCTGTGCTTGTCCGAGTAGTACGACGGGAACTTCTGAGGCTGGGGAGCGTCGCCGTCCTTGGGCGGCACGGGAGGAGGGCCGTCGTGGCGGAACTTGGTCAGCGAGCGGCGCAGGGCGGACTGTACCCGCTGCTTCAAGGGCGCTGGCTGGGCCATCCTGACCCGCGATGCTGATGTCTAGTCTATAGTGAGGGTCGGACGATCAGTATGCAGTAGACAGATCCTCAAGCTGCAAAGACGTGGCTGGGCATGGGCAGCACGGGATCGTGATGAATGGTGTTTAGCAGTCGTGCCGGTCTCGACATTGTTCTTGAAAGTCCAAGATCGCAGCTTCCACGGACGCGCGTGCGGGGAGTAAGAAGACTTGGCTTGCCTTGGTCATGCACAGCGGCACATCGCCCGGGTGCGGCGGTAGGAGCCGAGCCAGCAGCAGAGTGACGGGTTGCCCGCAACCACCCTTAGAGTTTGTGGAAGTCTCGCCACCTCCGTCACCAGGCTAACCCTAACCCTAGCCAGGGAACAGCCACAAGAGAAACGCCGCTGTATTCTGGGAGCAGACAGTATTGCGGTGTTTTAAAATACAGCACATGCATCTGTCTGTTTCTCCCTGCAACACTCCAGGGCTCAAACAGCAAGACTGTAGCAGAAGTGCTGTTACAAGGAGGCTCTAGTAAAACTATACGCCCACCACCAAACGACCGAGGTTTGGCGCTCGCTCCATTCAGCGTTTCAGAGGACGCCACGCTCCAGAATCTCGCCAGGGTGTCTAACGCGACAAACTATGGTGCACTGTGACCCCTACGAACCCAGTCTAAGAACGGAAGCTGGATAGTGTACAGACAGGGTCCAAGCATTAGTCCAGATAGGTATATAAGAATTAGCTCCAGGTCAAGACAGCGCTGCCCAACTATGCACTTGCCCTTTCAGGATATCAGCATCCAGGTCACACGCAATCCTCTTTTTTGCCTATTGCAAGACCCCCTATACACCATCTCCTACACAATGCATAGCATTTCAACTGCTGCGGCCTTCATTACGGCGCTGGCCGCCATTGTATCCTCAGAGGAGCTCAAAGCCAGTGACGTTCCACAAGCATGCACGAGTATCTGCGGACCTATTGTCACATTGACCAACACGTGCGATATCGACCCCAATGGCACTCGACGTCGGATGCTTCGACGCGAGGCTGACGGCGATAACGGAGGGGATGCAGACGAGTCTGATGAGGCGATCGAAGCTCAGTGCGTCTGCAAGAACACAAGCTTCAACGTGGGCCGCGTCGCAGCTCTTTGCGCAGCATGCCTTACCCAAAATAGAGGCGAGACCGAAGGTGAGATCTATTCCTCCATTCTAGTCCCTCTCCCTCCGTGTCCTGGCAAGTGACCAACTGACGATGAGCGCCTGGATTTCTAGATATGAGCAAAATAATGTCGCAGTGCAGTTTCACATCTACGACATACGTTCCCGCTGCCACGTCCGCCGTGGCGGGCGTGACTGTCCTGGCGACAAAGCCAGCCGTGCCTACCAGCGTTGGTTCCAGCGCTACGAAAACGTCCGGCAGCGCAGCGCCCAGCGCAACAAAGGCGGGCTCAGGAACATCAGCTGGCGCGTCATTGCTCGGCGCGCCTCGATACGGGGTATTGGTAGCAGCAGTTCTGACTCTTGCCTCTGCCTCATTCTTTTAAGTAGCCCCCGGATGGATATGTAGTTGGGGCTTGCGGATCAAGTGAGCATCCGCCTGTAGTATATCACTAAGCTTAGATAGCTTCACAGCCGACTTAGAGAGATCTTACGTAAATGGGAATGGGTGCAACATCTGTAGCTCTTTGAGCTGTGAAGCTTCCTTTTTGTGGTGCGTCCGTTATTGGAACGGCGTTGAGTGTTCGTCATGCGACAAGCCTACAGCCTTCAGAAAAGGGCAGGGGAGGTAGGCAGACAGCACCGATGGCACCGTCTAGCCGCGATAGCTGGACCAACGGTTGGCCGGGCTCTTACCCAAGGATCAGTGGAGGCAACGGGGTAGTCTGAACCAAGACACAGGTGATTAGCTCATGGATACTTCTCTCTGCAAGGACTAGCCAATGCAAGGCTACCGATATCGTGTCCCTTGTCACCTGTGATGCGGTGATGCATCAGACTTCGAGAACGGGAGTCCGCACGGGTGGACGCAGAGGTTCCGGATACCCATATGTCCTGCTCTCAGCCTAGGGAATATCGTGCATCGGGGCGTGGTTAGTACGTTCCTGTCCTAAGGCCAATCGTCCTGGCAGGGTGCTGTGAGTTTCTGAGCTACGAGGTAGGAAAAACTATCACAATTAGACATTATCGAATGCTGTGTATACCGGGATTTATCGTGTCACTGAGTATTAATGGATGCCCTGCCGCATTAGATTAAATTATAGTAGGTACAGTGATGATGATTTCTGAAGGTAGGTGGTGTGGTAGTGGCGCCCCTGCGTAGGTGGAGTAGTGCCTGTAGCTCCCTATGCACCTGTAGTCTACTGGCGACCCATTAGGGCGCAAGCCCACTACTGCGCTATTAGCTTATTATAAATAAGTGGCGCAGACAGCTCCATGTGGCCGCTACCCTGCCTCCGACACATCATAAGTACTACCTCTCTATGAATGATAAGCTACGTCTAGAAAAAGGAATAATTCGTAGACTGATAGCTGAACTAGAAGTATAGTAACTAGTTGCTCAGGGGCTCCATCGTACTGTATATGCCTCTCTCCTTCATCGCCTGTGCGCAGTCTATTTATAAGAGAACGACAGTTTCCCAGATTCATCGAGACTCCCACTTATCGGCTTTTAAAGCGTTTATCGCCGAGGAGCTGACTGATAAGCGTTAGGTCAAGCTAGTCTTATCGATTATCGAAAGCCCATCCTGCTGACGTAATCTGCCTTTCTTAAATGTTATGCCCTTGTCCCTAATGCGATTTTACAGTTGTTTCGTAGGGTCTACCTAGTAGTACAGAACAGAAGTAACTTTATACGAAGCTCTAGTTCGTAGCTCAAGATTATAAGGAGTCAAATTACCTACAACCTCTCTCTATAACGCGAGATTTGAAGCAGTAAGCTAGAAGAAAAGGTAAGAGGAGAGAACAAGGCGTATTTCTACTTAAGTAACCGTAATTATCCTAGTATATAAGTCTGTGATACTGGTACGAGGTGTATAAGATTCAGACAGTTAAGAAAGTGTTAGATGTTGAACTGCCGGTGCATTACACACTCAGCCCACTCGTGCGACCAGTCTTGTTCTTACTCACGGTCTTGGCCATCTTTCCTAGGTTTTTAGTCTCGAGGAGAGTGAGACCAATGGTCTCATCCTCCTCAGGCAGCTCAGAGGAGATCAAGTCGATTGGAAGATGAAAACCGATAGCATTTCTAACAATGGTGCGGACTAGATTGGCAAAGCCGAGGCTCCCACTCACTCGTTTCTGTTAGTTAAATAGAAGCCCGTCTAGCGAGGGGAACTCACCAAAGACGCCGGTCCCACCGGGAGAGACGACGGCTCGTGAGAGCTTTGACTCTAGCTTATCGGTGAAGCTAGGACTCCGAGGCCCGGGCCATACAAAGACGAAATGATCGGTGTCTTGGAACGGGATCCGAACACCCTTCTCTTTGGCCCCCTGGAAGAAGCACCACATTATCAGGAGTGTCTAATAAAGCGTTAGTTGCACTTGCTCTAACACGACCCTAATGATTGCGTAGCACCTAAGCGAGACGACCTACATGGCGGGGATCTAATTGCTCCAGAAGCCGCTTGTGTCTCTCCACCATATATATATCCCGATTATCGCGTACAATCCAGAAGATGTTGATCTGCCTGACTAGGTCCTGCTGACGACTCTCTCCCTGTGCCTTCATTTTATCTTTGCTTATCTGTTCCAGCTCATCTTTCATGACTTTTCTCCTCGCATCTTCGACTCCCTTATTATTATCTCGCAGATTCTCAAGGCTGGCTTCTAACTCCTTTTCGCGTTCCACAATACGCTTCAACTCAGCGTTCTGTCGAATCCCAAGGGCGAGGTCACATACTATCGGCAAAACACCTGCCATAGCATTTCTCTCTACAGCGATGCAGATGTTCTCTTTCTTTCGAATTTCGCCGGGCCCACAGTATGGACCATCAATCCTTACCCGTGAACCTTCGACCAACCACCGGAGAGCCTGATTTCTGGAGCTTTTCGACATGAATACCAGCTTTCTCATAGTCGATCCGTCGCTTGCCGATTCGATAGGCATTGCTCTGATAGTGTATGTTCGGAAGAACAGCCACGCAAATCGGGGAACTATCAGGTGATAATAGCCACCATGACGGCCAAGCAACGGTCTATCTACCAGTACTTGGACAGATACGACGCCATCGGCTGATTCTACCTTCTCAACCGTTCCACCTTTGCCTAGGAAGACGATTTGGGTAAACCTAGTAACCAGGCAGACTATGAACGAAGCCGACGCGAACATGAGAGATATCTTTACAGTGTTCGAGATTGACGGTAGGCTGATTACATGCCAGCACAGACTTCCGAGAGCTCCAAGTCCTGGAAGGAAGTGGAAAAGCACATAGAAAGGGGACATGGTTGGCGCGACCTTTGCCCACGATCTTTCAGCAGAGGGAGACAATCGACACAGGGTAGCACGGACGATGTTGAGTCCTTCAAATACGACGAATCCGATGAAGAAAGTGGTTGTCTACCTTAGTTAGTCACGATCGTTATTAAGAGATTAAGCAGACCAACCACATAGCCCGACGTAGAAATCAGCCCCGGGCGCGGGTTCAGTTGTACCACCCCTACAGCATGAGTGAAGCCATGGGCGAGGACGATGAGGCCAACGTAGCGATATCTTGACATATTTACAGTGGGCAACGCCTAGCCAATTAGCGATGGGGTGCAGGTTTCCAACGTGGAGTAGAGGGGCGAGATTAATAACTGCGAGGGCAGCTGCGCGCCGTTGTATTTCGAGAAGTCCGCGTCCGGAGAATAAAAGTGTGGCAATTACTACACGGGCATGAAGAATTGCTACCCGGGCATGACTCTTACACGGGCATGACTTCTATCGCCTCTGATTCGCTCATTTTTTACCTTCGACCCACAGGTACATCAGTGCAAAGGCGGTGAAGCAAGCTCTCTTAACAAGGCCGTGCTTTCGGTATAGTCAGAACCAACCAGGTCAACCAGGCCTCTAGAGCAGGTCTTAGGCGTATATCAAAACAAGGTCTGGTTTTCAATACAGAACACGGCCAATTCCAGCACGCCCTAGAGGGCAGCTATCTATATCTCTATCCTCTAACTACTATAGATGGAAGAACCTCCTCGTCGCTGTCAAGCAGCTCCCACTGACTCCTTCGCCTGCGAATGCTAGATTGCGTCTTCCGTCCGTTGGCACGTACTCCTGTAGTTCTTCCAGCTCCAAGAACAGCTGACCGGCTGCGCGTCTGGCGCTGGGATGAGGCACTGGCCTGGCTACTAGCCTGGCTGCTGGCCTGTTGGCTCGCTTCCAGAGCAAGCCTAGCTAGCGTTGACTTGTTGTGACTTCCTGGTGGTCGACCTCGTCTGCGCCCTGTCGCTTGGCTTGCTGGATTGCTGGCTCGTTGGCTACTCGGCTGGCTGCTTGCCTCAATGGCTAGCCGCGCTGGAACAGCCTGTGTGGTGTTCTTAGGTCTGCCACGGAGAGCAGTGGCGATCTTAGGGTCGAGGATTCGTCGGTATGGATCTCGAGAGGATGGCTCTCGTAGGCGCCACCGAGGATGGACCTCCCATTTGGTGAGAGGCGTGCCACTCACCAGCTTTGAGTAGATTGTGTGGCAGCAGGGGATTCCAAGCTCGGTCGAAACCGAGCAGTCCTCACTGCAATCGCCAATGGGGTCAGGGAACGGATTCTTCCCCGTCGGCATTGCTTTCCTTGCTAGCCGATATTGTTTGTTGATAAGCCCGAGACCCTTCGAAGAGAGTGCTGTCCGGGGTTCGCCTAGATACTCCGAGCTGGACCCTATGTACTCTCGCGCGGTAAGTACCTCGTCCGCTGCGCAGGCGTCGTTGAAATCTCGCTCCTGGTCCTTCATCATGTCCTGCATAGCCTCGATAAGCCGATAGAGATTGCTCATACCATTCAGGAGATAGCTCTTGATGTTGTTGTTGCTTGCTTCTGTCCCAGATGTGACGCGTATGCCGAAGTTGCGATAGTTGCGAATGAAACATCGTGCCCACTGCGCCCTGACAGGCATGTAGGTTCCATGGAGATACCGCAGGATGGCCCGCTGATCGTCAAATTCCCTACAGAGGCTTCCCCACGCCTTCTCGCGAGCCTCCTCTGTCTCCGCAAACAAGACGACCTTCCACATCATGAGAACCCCTCGATGGCTATGAGGGACGACTTCAGCTGTCTGCGCGTTGACCAACTGTCCGTCTTTCGGGCCGAGCTCAGCCTGTGCCTGTGGAGCGTAGTCCTCCCCGTTGCTGCTGTCGGGACTACTACTGCTACATTGGCCCTTGACCCACTTCTGCTTTGACTTGAGGAAGACGTTAGAATTGATGTGGTGGATGCACAGCTGCTGCTGTGCATCAGGGAACTGATCATTCGGGGCGGCCTTCATCTGACCGTCGAAGTCAGTAATGATAACGTCCGGTTGGCGAATAGAGTGCTGCTCTGAGATCTGTCGAATGCTCTCAGAGAGGAACTGGAACCCCTCCCGTCTCTCGTTGTCGATCAGACCGAACGCCGCATTGTAGACAGAACCAAGGCAGGTCTGTCCTGTTGCTTGGAATAATGGAAGCTTGAAGCGGTTGGTGTTGTATGTGTTGTCGAAGCT